GTCAATCATACCACACCTAATTTTTATTAGGTAAAAAAGATAATGGACATATGCCAGACGGAAACTCCAACAAAAAGAAATCTGTTTAGAAGATATGGATTATCCAGCTCATATACAATAAAATAAATCTTTATCAGCCACCAGATTAGCATCCTGTTCATATACACTGTGTATCATCGCCACCGGATATTGGGTACTAACGAAGCGGAGAGAAATGGGGAAAAAAAGTAAACAAGGTAAGAATTCATTCAATTTAAAGCATTTCTACTGATTTGACGAGGGTACCGCTTAAGAAATGATTTTCTGATATATAATTCTTTAAATTATTAGGCCGATAAGTACAAAATTAAGACAAGATTTTGTGTTATACTCCAAAGCATGCCTCTTAGTACCTGAAAATGTCGAGGTCGATTGTCCTCTGTCGCCCCATTGGCAAGATATTCAACTGTTTTTCATTATTTTTCCAGACACGTTTTTAGATTATGATAGTGAGACATCATATTGACTGAAATTTGTTGTCATAAAGATGTTTTTAAAGAATATGGACCAACATATTGTTTGTTTATTGTACGGCGAATTGCAGGACGTTGTACGGCGAATTGCAAAATAACAACTTTTATCTGTACGGCGTCTTGCAATATATTGTAATTTAAAGATAAAATTAATCACTGTTTAAATAATATCAAGTGACGATATTTTGGCTGTATCAAAGCTTTACCGGCTTACAAATATACAAAATAAACTACTTATCAAATATTATAAAATACATGCCGTTAATTTCGTTCAGAAGTCGTCGTTGCGTACCTCTATTTGACTTTGTGTTTTTAAAGACAAAAAGGTTTCTTTCAACCATATTATCCTAAATACATTCATATATCGTTATAATACTAACGACTGTTGTCTTATTTGTTGTCAGGGTGAATTTTTGTAAGCCGTTCAATAAGAAAAAACCGACCATTCATCTTTTGTTGGTGCTGGGTTTTTTTTTAATATAAACAGTGGAGATGTTGTATGATTGCAAATAAGATAACTATCCACCAGGGTCAAATAAAGTGTATGTAAGCAATTATATGCTATCGTTTGACCTTCAACAACGAAAAATCGTACCTTATAGTCGGCTTTAAAAAGCCCCGACATGAAAATTGTGGAAGGATTCAACAAGAAAACTAACGGCCTAACTCATGTCAAAACAATTTACGAAAAACAACAAATATGATAGAGATGAACCAACGACAACCACCGAACTACAAGCTCGTGACTTCGGACAGACACATAAAGAATGTGATGGGTTAAATAGATATAGGAAGATGTGGTATGAGTCCCAATGAGACAACTCTCCATCCAAGTCACAATTTATAAAAGTAAACCATTATAGGTCAAACATTGTTTATTTTTATAATTTCTGAAATGAATAATTTGTTAAAAGAAAAGTGAAGAAAATACTTTGTTTTCATTGAAAATTAGGAGAAATAAATCATGAATTGTGTTTCGAATTAATTTTCTTGTTTCTTATTGAAAATAAGATTGTATTTTTTTTTTTTAGTTTAAGTAAATTCAATCAATCTTTTTATTTACAGGGAAAAAATAAAAAAAGACCGTTGCTAAGGCTGTTTGGCCTAAACTTAAAGGAGTAGATGGAGGGGTAGTGAAAAGGAGTGTATTCGTCCGAATTTTCATTGTAGTACATTTTCATGATTACTATGTATAATATTTCTCAGTACATTTTAATGTGATATTGTGCCAATTAAAATTATATAATTAATACAAGTAAGACTTGCATTTGCCTTAAAAGATATAGCAGTACGTGATTATTTGTTTTCAAACACACCTTCTCTGTTTTGAAACTTATAAATCTATGGATCTCGGCCTATCTGTTTGGTTGAATATAAATGTGAATTCATAGAGTTTCAAAATCAACAGTTAGCCCTATTTTTGTGTGTGTGTAAATATTCTAATCTTTAGATAGATGCTAAAATTAAAATCATTTTTCTTAATAAGAAGAAAAAAGTGCAACTTAAGCACGCCTGAATGTAAAAAGGTGTACCCGACTTATTCTTTCACGATAAGAAATTGCCGATTTCGTTATTTTAACAAAACTGTTTACGAGGGCAAATAAATAAATGAACGCTATCAAATCAACATTTAAATTTACGTGGATTTTTCCAAAGGAATTTATGCGTATGCACCATCAGGATTCAAAAATATTTCAACCTGTCCTTATTAGATATTATTTCATTATAATTCTTTAAACTTACAAGTCGAAGATGCAAGCTTTTGTGAATTGTATTAATAAGTATATAATATTAAGATGACAACCAAAAAAACTTCATACAAGGTCATCTTTATTCTCAAGTAGAAAGTTTATATAAATAGTTTATGCCGTAGCCACAGCCGGATTTGTATCCCTTGTATCGGATTCTTCTTTCATTCTTTCCAAAAATGATTAATCTAAGGTTAATATTTTTTTTAATTAAAACAGTGTTAGCCACCGAGCTTGTTCATTTCTTACTATATAGAGATGGTTATTTTTTAGAAAATTAATGTTCTTTATTCTAATATATTGGCTATATCTGCCTTTTACAAATAAGACAATAACATTAATTGAAAAAGGAGACGTGGAATGGTTTTCACTGAGAGGACTTTCAAACAAAGTCCAAATGAAATAGATTTGACCAACTATTGGTCACTATACACTTCACAATGAACAAAACCCATACCGTATACAAAATGCCTGATTTATGACAAAATCATAAACAAATATGTTAGGCAGCAACTTACGACAGCCGCTATATTACATGTTCCTGACCAGGGACAGACACATATATAATGAGGCGGGGTTAAACATGTCTGTGAGCACTCAAACCTCCCTTAACATGGTGCCGTGGTGACGCAATACAACATTTTTTTTGCAGAGAATGATAATTCATTTATATTTCATTTTATCTGAAAGTTGAAAGAGAATTCATTCACTTAATGGTTCTAAATATTCAATGCGGAATAATTCTCCTGCCCTTACCTCCTTCCTTCCTTCCACCCACAACCCATCCCCGAAATGTTCATCACTTATATACAAATGCTGACTAATGTTGTATGGTTAAAACATTTGGTTGAGGCAATCTAAAGTTTGAGAACAGAAACGACAGTTAGCTTTTTTTTCATTTATAAAAGGGCATAACTCAAAAACGGTAACAGTGACGCTACCCAATTTATAACTTGATCTGTGTTTTGTGGTGATAAGCATTTCGTGTAAGTTTTAAAACATTTGGTTTAGGCATACTAAAGTTAGAGAACGGAAACCATTTTTGGGACTTTCTGGACAGACGGGTCGGACGGACATGGGTAACATTTAACGCTACGTCAGGGGCATAACAACAGGTCAGTAAAACAGTGACATGCCTATCCGAAAGTTACAACATTTGCCAGCTTTTGTGTATGCCGTATTCATATTGTATACATCAAGTATGTAAAAGATGTAATAGGACTGTGTTCAAGCCTTATATTGTGTATACATCTTAAATGGTGTCAAGCGAATTGTTTTTTATCAAATGCATAATTAGATATTTGAACCTAATACTTTATTTTCTTTAAAAAGACGGCAAATAAATATTTTGAAATTAGCAAGTTGCCATACAGTTGAAAACAAGTTGCCATACAGTAAATTTGTCAACACGAGCAAGTTGCCGTACCCTAGACTTTATTTTTTATGGTCTATATTCTTTAAAAACCATCATTTTGAAAACAAATTTCAGTAAATATGATGCCACACTATAATAATCTAAAAAAGTGTCTGGAAAAATAATGAAAAACAGTTGAATATCTTGCCAATGGGGCGACAGAGGACAATCGACCTCCAAATTTTCAGGTACTAAGTGGCAAGCTTTGGAGTATAACACAAAATCTTGTCTTAATTTTGTACTTATCGGCCTAATAATTTAAAGAATTATTTATCAGAAAATCATTTCTTAAGCGGTACCCTCGTCAAATCAGTAGAAATGCTTTAAATTGAATGAATTCTTATCTTGTTTACTTTTTTTTCCATTTCTCTCCGCTTCGTTAGTACCCAATTTCCGGTGGCGATGATACACAGTGATATATAGAGATTTAATAGATCTCATCACTACTTGGGAATCTGTGACACTTGACCCAGGGATTAGCAATACTTGAACTATTAATGCCATACAACAATTGCTTCTCTTTTGTGGTATCAGACATTTGTCTTGTGCCATCAAAATTTTACGGGTTCTTTTGTGATGTCCAGTTATAGCTGACTAATAGAAATAAGGTGTATTAAATGACTTTTAAACACCATTTATCTATCAAAGTATTAAACTGAAGCATTGGGGCTTCACATTCTACTTCAGTTTACCATATATAAGAATTTGTATAAATAATACCTACTGTCATATATAAAAGTTGACTTTGAAACAATGCATATAACTAAGAGTAGTACCATCTTGTCAAAACTGATATGTATGAATAATCATGCAACACCAAACATTAATACCATTCATCAATACACGCAATTAATAAGTTCACATTTGACACTAAAAAATTTCAATGTTACTGAGGGTATTGAGGCTTATGTGTTGAACTCAACTGAGATGCATACATGAAAATTGTTGTAGAGGTTAGGGAGGGAACTTAGCATAAGGTCTTGAATATGAGGAAATATCCATGACATATGTTGCATGTCAAACAAAAAGATTATATTTCCAGACACAAATATAAAGATGGACAAAAATCCATAATAAAACACTGAAAAAGCTTGTTCAGTAGGTTGGTAAATCTCTTAACATGTAGTAAGTTGATTATAAGTGTGTTTATTGGGATCAGCTTTTTTTGTGTTGTAGGGTCTTTTAGCAATTCTCATTATTGCCAACAAAAGGCTGATCTACTCTATCCTTATAAATCATTTAATATAACTGTGTAATTTTGTTTTGTAGATCAAAATCTGGTGTTCAATTTGTATACTTGAAATTTTCAATATACCTTTCAAATGATGACAAATGTACATAATTTTATTATATAACACAAAAACTGAATGGTAAGTATTATTTGTCAACTTCAGGACTTTCAGTTTCCATTGGTTGTGAAAATTGTGAGTTGAATTCCATGGGATGACAATCTAATGTTTTTAAGTTAACTAAAACACATGTGGCTGTTTGACAGAATTTTGGTACACTGACCAATAATATCTCTTGGCCATTAGGTCCTGAAATGATATAAGTAAATTTCCATTAAATATTTGACAAGACAATTATAGAATTCTTACTGGCTAATATAACTAGGTACACTTCCCAGTCTAGATAGGTAGGTAGCTACCTCTCATCAGTAAAGCTAGGATCTTGTTTTGAAAATATCAAAACAGGATACCACATCCTAATTCACTAATTGACTATAGGTAACCATCTATATATTCAATCATTAACTTCAGCATGGTCCCAAGCAGGGTTGGCAAAGTATTACCCGGGCGGGAAAAACGGGGCTGGCAATACTCCTAGAAACGGGTAATACTTGGCAATACTAGGTAATATGATTTTTCAAGCTTATTTTACACAAAATAGTAAAGACTTGTTGTAGTTTAATAGCATTATAGCTAAATATATACATTTTATATAGATAACCATTGAGAGTCATTCCTGAAGATTGAAAATTCAATTTCTTCCTTTTCTCCACTAATTCTATGTAGGCAGAATACAAGTTTTGGACATATCAGGATACCTTGTTAATTTCCAAGCTTTGTTTCAATATTAAATCCAAGTTGAAAAATGCAATTTATTGCAGTGTTTAAGTGAATTGTAAATTTTTAATTTTTATACAATCATATTGGTAAATAAACACCCTAAGGGGACAGGCCATGAACACTTAAAGAAATCAAAAGGCTGATTATTGTAATATAAACAAATCTGTATTATTATCTGAATAATTACTTATTAATTAGTGATTTACATAAACATATGCTCAAACTTAGTAAACATTTTTAGTAATTAACAAAAAATGTTTAAAAGTAATTTTCATTACATAGATTTTTTATTCTTAATATTAGTTATACTTATTAAAAAAAAAAAAAATTCTTCGACTTTAGTGTATTGCATTTGTGATTTATCACTGAATCCTCTTTAAAATTCAGGCCAGTATTTCATATTACCCGGTATTTCCCACTGGGCTGGGCAATACTCATAAAACCCGGGTTTTTGCCAACCCTGGGACTCCCAAGACTTTTTAAAAAACAATTTTACAACAAATACTTGAAAGTCAAGTATAGCTAACGATCAATATTAATAGTACAGTTTTTGATGACAGATCTTTGATAGTCTTGGTAGAAATATATTCTCTACTTGTTTAGATGGGTGAGTTTAACATATTGTATATACACTTTTTTTTCTATTGAATACCAGATGTTGGCCTCAATGTTTTATAAGGGTTTGTTGGTGTCAGGTTCATATTTCATTGATGTAAAGATAGGTTTCGATTGACACAAATTAAGCAAGTGTTATTTTCCTTTGGTTGCCAAGTTGGAGGTCTGCATGTATAAATTCCTTAACAAACCAGTCAAATTCAACTTGTTATACTGACCACTAAACTTTATAAAAAGTTGTTTTCTAAAAACATTTAATTTCTTTTAGCCTTGCTTGATTCATCAATATATTCTGGTAAAGATCTTTTATAATTCTTGTTTGTACTGCATGTTTCAATTTGGTTAGTCAATTAGGAAAATCAACCATTTATCCCTCCAAAATGGTGGCCAAGGGAAATAACTCAAACTCAAAATATGTCACAACAAAACCTATCTATTCCCAACATCTTCTTTTATTCCAGTTGGACTGAAATTGCAATAATCTGGATTATTCTTGAAATTATTTTACAACTTCAAATTTAAAGCATATATTCAATCTTTATTTGAGATGTTGAATAACCTATTATAATGTGACATTTGGATTTTTTTTGTTATAACCACTGTATTGATTTATGACATGTTGTACCAGAGATAACTTTAAAATTCAATTAATGACAAACAGTTGTATATTTAACTGTATAATAACATATTAAAGGTCATAATAGGAAAACACATTGATAAGCCACCCCCACACATAAATCACTCTTCACACAGGTGAAATGTTCCAAAAGTCAAACATAACTGAGGTTCCCTCTGTCATTCGTTCATTTATTTAAAATTCACTATAGCTTCTTACTGGGATTCATTCTTGGGGGTTCTGAACATGTTAATGGTAAGACTATGTATCAACATAATTCTAAAAGGGCAAACAGTAAAGGGGAGATAAGTCATGCTGTTTTTTGTCGACTTCAGTTGAAAAGAAATTTTAAACAATTGAAAAATTGCAAGGGTAATAGGTAATTTATGGTACATATTTATTGAATGATTAAATGTTGTATTTCTAACAGAATTGCATTCAATGTGAATATCATAAATGCAAATAAACTATTGTATATCTAATAACGGTGGGTGAGTATAAACTATTGTATATTTAATAATCTTGGGTGAGTATAAACTATTTTTCATAACGAAACAAATGATAACAAAAAGGCCCACTTCTGTTATAAAGGTTAGCAGCATTTATCTTTTAAATTCAAAATATCTGACAAACCAAGTCATGATTTCAAACTTTTATAAAATACATTGAATTAAAACTAATATTATGTTATTTTAAACAAAATTAAGATCTTTATCATAAATTAATCCTACAGAATAATAGTCAATTTTCCTTTGTATCTATAATAGAATCAACTCATCAATTTTACAGTAACCTTTAAAAACTATTTTTTATTGTTGCTCTTGATATATTATCAGTGAATACAGGCTTACCTTACATCAAGAAACTGGAAAGTGGAGCTTTGAAATCAACATTTCTTCCCGTGTTTATATGAAGTTAAAGATTAAAACAAGATAGATGGGAACTTTGGATAACTGATTCTCTCTACCTAGCACAAAATTATTATTTTAAGTCAGCAAAGACCATAATTCCAGAAGTGGTAAATAAAAAGTTACTGTTCATAGTTTAGATCTGGGATGCTGCCTGTGTGATTTCTACAATTTTTTTTTACTTCATTATCATCATGGAGGCTACGCTGGGATATTTACATTCTCTTTGCATTGTATACTGTTTCTGTGTAATTTGGTCTCTTGTGGAGAGTTGTCTCATGGCAATCATACCAAATCTTATTTTTATATTTACTGCAGCGTTTGTTACTCATGCTGTGTGGATGCAGTAGAATGTGTCCCCGTGCCTGTAGTGTGTGCCCTTATACTTTACAGTTAGGGTTTTTTGCTTGTGAGAGAGCTGTCTACATATTCCATTATATTAATTTTTACTGTTTCTGTGTCATTTGGTCTCTGGTGGAGAGTTGTCTCATTGGCAATCATACCACATCTTATTTTTAAATTTACCTCTCAGTTTTGGTCCTTTACTCAAAACTACACCGATAATTAATCCCTAAAGAATAGAACAAGGTGACCAAAATAAAAACAGAAAACAAATCTGTTAATGTAGACCAAAAAGTTATTGTTTTTAATTGTATCCACTGAAAATATAACTAACTTATATACTGCACAATATTTGTTTAACTATAATTAAGTCAACTTACCTTTATGAATTTTACTGCCAAATGAAGATTGGTTTCCACAAAAGAATATGTGTGGACACTTTGTTAATATGAAGGGATCTTCTTTATAGAATGGATAGCAACCTGTGAAATAAATAAATATGTGACACTTCCTTAACAATGTTAGTATGAGTATATGTATGCCACTACTTACAGTGTAAAATGCTGAAAATCGGGTACTGAATAAGCCCATATATGTGGCTTTGCTCTATCCTCACAAAAAAAAAAATATAGCAAAAGCCCCTCCAGCAACACAATCCTATATACTAATCTAAACTTGTAAAATGGTCTCTTTATGCTATCTCTATTTAATCAATGTTCTATTCAAACAGACATTAGTCTGGGTGATTTATGCTTATCAAGCTGATAATGAAAATTATGTCAAAGGGAATAAAGATACTACACAGTTTTTTTTTTAGTTTTCATATAAAATGAAAAAGCATTTACTCAATGAACTGAAGAAGGTTTTTTTTCCTTAGATATAACAAATAAACCTTGTATACCCAATGAATCAGGAGCTGTAGGAGCGATATGTCCCCAGGTAATACATTTATCTAATATGTCTACTGGGTCTTCTAATTCACTGTATCTCATAATGTTAGTGACAGGCTGTCCTGAGGTACCAAGGACTCTGAAAACAAAAATGTAATTTAAACTTAAGATGAATAGTAGAAGATACATATGCATCAGTACTAAATCATTATAGATCCCAAAATTTAGTTTTAAAATAATAAACATAAATGATTTACTACATTTTGTTTATCTTGTGATAACATTTAGTTGCTTGTTACATTTAATTTTGCTACTATCTTTATAATGTGAAATATTTGTCAGGAAAGCCATTTTCTTATCTGTTCTGCAGTAAACTAAAACAACAATTTAATTGAGGCTCTGCCGCTCATTATACAAATTTAAATACATTTCACTGTTAACACAAGGACAATCAGATTAAACACAAATTAGACATTTTAAAAGTGCTCATTCAGTTATTTACCCAAAATAAATACAATGACATTACACAAAAGGTACTTGATATTTTATATACATAATGACAAGGACGAAAAGTCAAAGGTTAATGTGGCTCATCATAAAACTGATCAGATATGTTTAAACAATTTGGTAAAAGTAATGATTTATATATTTTCCAAAGAATGGCAGAATAAAGGCCAGCCGCACTAAGTTGTCAACCTGCAAAAATCAAAATGTCATGATGATAATTTACATATTTATCCAAAATATCAGATATAAACAAAGGAAAATTATATGTCAGGAAAAACACATAAAACTGTACTTGAACTTAATAGTTTTTTTATACTGAATTTTATACATTAATTTTCTGACCAGAACCAATGTAAAACATTCTCTCATTCCTCCGGGTGAAGATGGAACTTTTGAACTGATCGAAGTATTAAATATCCTTTTTAACTTTCATGAATACTAAGTTTATAACACAGAAAAAATTGTATTGAAATCCCTATGATACTGCTGCTGCAAATTCATCAGAATTTTCGAGATAGAATTATCTTCCATTGATCATGGTCATATTCAAAAATGAACCCAGCTTACTGGAGGTAAAACTATACAGGTCAAATCAAATTCATATCTTTTTATTTACGCTTTTCCCTGCTGGTAAACCAGATGCTTTTTACATGGTCTTTACATAAATATGATTGATAGTTGATTGTTTGCATCCTATAAAAGTAATAACCCTATATCATAATCAAATGTATTAGTAACTGTTTTAACTTTGATGGTTCTTTTTATTTACATTCATATGGTTTGGAGTGGTTTTAAATGTGACAACTGACTGTATTACTTCAACATTTACAATCCTATGGATTGCTGACTTTTAAATGTAAGAACTAACCTGATTCATTTTGTTTATAGTCACTAAACTCTTTCTACATGCTAATCAAACAAACAGGTGCTTAAAGCTAAACAACTCACCTGACTCTTTCTACATGCTAATCAAACAAACGGGTGCTTAAAGCTAAACAACTCACCTGACTCTTTCTACATGCTAATCAAACAAACGGGTGCTTAAAGCTAAACAACTCACCTGACTCTTTCTACATGACAATCATGAGGATTAGTAACTGTTTTAAAATTAATAACTTACCTGGCATCATACGGATTAGTGACTGTTTTAAGCTAAACAACTCACCTGAATCTTTCTTCATGACAATCATGAGGATTAGTAACTGTTTTAAAATTAATAACTTACCTGGCATCATACGGATTAGTGACTGTTTTAAGCTAAACAACTCACCTGAATCTTTCTTCATGACAATTGTATGGATTGGTGACTGTTTAAAGCTAAACAACTCATCTGAATCTTTCTTCATGACAATTGTATGGATTGGTGACTGTTTAAAGCTAAACAACTCACCTGACAATCATATGGATTGGTGACTGTTTTAAGATTACAACTTGGATGGCAATCATAAGAATTGGTGACTGTTTTAAGCTAAACAACTCACCTGACTTCTTCAACATGACAATCATATGGATTAGCAACTGTTTTCAGCTTAAAAACTCACCTGACTCCTTGTACATGACAATCATAAGGATTGATGACTTTTTAAATCTAAACAACTCACCTGACAATCATATGGATTGGTAACTGTTTAAAGATTACAACTCACATGGCAATCATAAGAATTGGTGACTGTTTTAAGATTAACAACTCATCTGGCAATCATATGAAATAGTGATTGTTTTAAGCTAATCAACTCACCTGACTCCTTCTACATGACAATCATAAGGATTGGTGACTGTTTTAAGCTTAACAACTCACCTGCCTCCTTCTACATGACAATCATAAGGATTGGTGACTGTTTTAAGCTTAACAACTCACCTAAATCCTTCTACATGACAATCATAAGGATTGGTGACTGTTTTAAGCTAAACAACTCACCTGACTCCTTCTACATGACAAACCTATGGTTTGGTGACTGTTTTAAGCTAAACAACTCACCTGACTCCTTCTACATGACAATCATATGGATTGGTGACTGTTTTAAGATTAACAACTCACCTGACTCCTTCTACATGACAATCGTATGGATTGGTGACTGTTTTAAATGTTGGAAATCTAGATGCCTGAGCAAACATACATTTGTGTAAAGGTTGTTGAGGTATTGTAAAATTTGTAGGATCATATTCTCCTGCCATAACATCTACGTCAACACTACCCTGGAATATAACTTATCTTTTATAATTTGTGACGTTACAACACATGTTGCCATCTCGATGTCTTTTGGTTATCTGAATATTGTTGGATTGCTGTTTCATTGATGTATACCACACATTTTCTCTTATTTGTGCTTAAATTTGTCAGAATTACATAGTATATCATAAAAACTATTTACTTAAATATGCCATTAGTTTTCATTCATAAACACTTACAAAATTGTCTCTGAAAAAATTATATTCACTTTGTACAAACATATACAATATAAGTATAAAAAAAAAGAAGACATTTATCTGTTATCAATTTCTTTCCAAATCTATCTATCTTATAATCAAGTGTAAACATTCCTCTTGGGCGATACATAAAGAATAAAATGCTTCGCTGAGCGCAGCTGGATACGACCGCAGAGGTCCAACCCTGAACAGTTGGGGCGAAAATGGACACAATATTCGCACTTGATACAGGTCTGGATTTGGATTGTAATTAAATATTTGACAAATAATAGGTTTCTGACACCGAATAACTGTAGTCAAAGAACTTAAAATTGGTTAAATGATTTGAATTTATATTCAATTTTTTGCTTTTGTGCAATACACTATGCTGTTGCGAATTGACCCCCCCCCCAAAAAAAATCTTTTTTTACCCCCCTCCCCCCTTTTCCAAAAAAAAAATTCTTTCCCTCAAGATATGGTCATAATCTCAATTCAAATTTCCAATGGAGTTTGCAACCATAATTACCAATTTAAATACATCATAAAAGTCTTAAATAGATAATTTAAAAGCAGTGTAAGGGAGGTAATCCAACATTGTACAATTTTGTTTTTGGATTACCTCCCTTACACTGCTTTTAAATTGTCCATTAACCAGGAAACCCTTGTTTTTTCCCCTAATTCCATAACGGTTTGAGCCATAACCCCCCAAAGCCAATCCTAACCATCCCTTTGTGGTATGGAAACTTGTGGTATAATTTCAGAGAGATCAAATCACTTGAACACAAGTTATTGTCTGGAAGTTACAAAAATGCTTCTATTTGGCTCCTTTTTGGCCCCTAATTCCTTAACTGTTCCTTTTGTGGTATTAAAGCTTATGGTAACATTTCATAGAGATCCATTAACTTAAACTAAAGTTATTGTGCGTAAACCAATGTGTCTTCGGACGACGACGATGACGCCAACGTCATACCAATATACGACTGCAAAATTTTTTTTGCGGTCATATAAAAATGCCAAGGAGCCATCTACTCAGTTCTCTTTTTTTTTTTACAAGCAAACAATAGTGATACAGTATTTCTTAATGGTTCTGGTCTAGATTGGGCTGTCTGAGAATACACAACAGAATTCTTGGTAAAACATTATCCACAGTTTAGTTTAATTTGTAAGGAGAAATCAGCTAAATATATATATATATATCCCATACACTAAAACGTAGGATTGATTAAAGAATACTTACAGATAGTTGAAAGAAAACATCATCCAACGTTTTAACTGCCTCAACACTCGCTGCTTCAGATTTCTTTGTTAAATATTTGGCCTGCAAATTATATATATTCATTTTAAATCCACTATAAGATCATGTGGGTCATTTTTGTTTATGGCTAAATTTTGTTTATGGTTAAATTTTGTAAGTAAAAAATCCACACTGAAAAAATCGTGAGTTATTAATACTGTACTAGTCTAGTTCCAGTTTCAGTCGGGTTTAAGTTTTTCTTGAATAATGATGAACAGAAACTCTGTGTGGTAATATTCTTGAACCATATGAAGGGTTACCAAAAGTTGGGCTTAGCACCACAGACTCTGACAAAAAATTATCAAATTTGCACAGAAAAGTGAGTTACTACTGAGTGTGTTGATTTTTGTGTTATAATTTATGAATCTATCCACTCAATAATAGAAAGGAGAAGGTCCGGTAAGGGCTAGTTTTGGCACAAAATTCGAAGTACATCTGATGAAAGATTTTTGACATTTTTTAAACACTTAAGTGTCTACTTCAGTCGATTCAATTAGTTTATGTCAAAGATTTGAACTGATTTGGTCATTAAAGATGCTCAAATTCAAGTTTTAATATGAAAGATCTATCAAATATGCCATAAAACGTCACTTTTTAGATGTTTTTTGTCTAAAATGTAAGTGGCAGCATTCGTGTTCAGTCTCAACCTTTAAATATGTTATGTATTATCATCAAATACAACATATATTTAAATAAAGACTGAACACAAATGCGGCCACTTCCATTTTAGACAAACACCGTCTTAAAATTAGCACAAATGCTAAAATTGTGACAATTTCAGTAATTTTGCATGAATTTATGATGCTAGTACCTGATACATGTGCATTGTATTGTCAAAAACAGTCCATTTTTATGGAACATAAGTATTCTACTTTCCAATGAATATCTAAAAGTTTACATAACAACAAATTTGTAAAAATGCTATATTTTGGGGCCAAAAAGGGGTCTTACCGGGCCTACTCCTTTCAACTTTACTAAACATGGATGTAATATTTTGCAATTTTGTAGCAAGAAGAAAAAGAAAATGTATTAAATGAACCAATTCATTCTGCACATTAATTTGGAAGCCAATTTTCCTTATGTCAATCTGAACTCATCAAGAATGTATGTCTCTTGAAATAAAAAACTTACCGTTTATACAGAAGAGGAGCTTCAATTTTGAAATTCATAAACCTATTACCATTTTTTTTTTAAATTTGAAATCTAAAACCAGATTAGATAGTATGCATTATAAGCAGACAAATTTCAGCAAAGTAGACTGTTCCTGTGAAATTTTCTACCATATCAATATATATTACCTTTTGTAAACTCTCTTTATCTTGTGTATCCTGGCTGAGTGAATTTCCTGCTACTATTACACGTACAATACTAGATGAGGACTTTTGTTGGTCAATATCTCCCACCTGACCTGTTACCATGTCAACCATAAGTTGTAACGGAAAAGACTTTTCATCTTTTCCTCCTACTTCTAAACCAGAAATGAGAGCTATAAACCTATAAATAACAAGAAATGATTGTAACAGGATGCTGTTACGAAGTCTCCCAAACGAAGCTCCCATAATTCGTAATTCCCAGGGTCGTCTGACATTGGGCAAAGTCCAGTGAAAATTGGTTTGGTAAAGTTATATGCATTAGTGATGCCTGGGGACTAACCCTGTATATCATTCAAATCATCTTGCCACTTACAATCACCCTTGGGGACTGACCCTATAAGTCATTCAAATGTTCGAGACATGACGAACAGGAATATATATGGTTTAGGGGTGGGGATCTCGACCATTTACAAGATATTAGAACATAGGGGGTGGGGGGAACCCCTGGGGACCGATCCTATACGTCATTCAAATGTTCAAGACATGACGAACAGGAATATATATGGTTTAGGGGTGGGGATCTCGACCATTACAAGATACTAGAACTTTCTCAAATGGCAGGGGGTGGGGGATGACCCCTGGGGACTAACCCTGTATATCATTCAAACCATCTTTGCATGACAAACCAGAATATATATGGTTTAGGGGTGGGGATCTTGACCACTTACAAGATATTAGAACATAGGGGGTGGGGGGAACACCTGGGGACCGATCCTATACGTCATTCAAATGTTCAAGACATGACGAACAGGAATATATATGGTTTAGGGGTGGGGATCTCGACCATTACAAGATACTAGAACTTTCTCAAATGGCAGGGGGTGGGGGATGACCCCTGGGGACTAACCCTGTATATCATTCAAACCATCTTTGCATGACAAACCAGAATATATATGGTTTAGGGGTGGGGATCTTGACCACTTACAAGATATTAGAACATAGGGGGTGGGGGAACACCTGGGGACCGATCCTATACGTCATTCAAATGTTCAAGACATGACGAACAGGAATATATATGGTTTTGGGGTGGGGACCTCGACCATTTACAAGATACTAGAACTTTCTCAAATGGCAGGGGGTGGGGGATGACCCCTGGGGACTAACCCTGTATATCATTCAAACCATCTTTGCATGACAAACCAGAATATATATGGTTTAGGGGTGGGGATCTTGACCACTTACAAGATATTAGAACATTGGGGGTGGGGGGAACACCTGGGGACTGATCCTATACGTCATTCAAATGTTGAGACATGACGAACAGGAATATATATGGTTTAGGGGTGGGGATCTCGACCATTTACAAGATATTAGAACTTTCTCAAATGGCAGGGGGTGGGGGATGACCCCTGGGGACTAACCCTGTTTATCATTCAAACCATCTTAGCATGACAAACCAGAATATATATGGTTTAGGGGTGGGGATCTTGACCACTTACAAGATATTAGAACTTTCTTAAATGGCAGGGGGTAGGGGTGACCCCTGGGGACTTACCCTGTATTTCATTTGATTTGCTTTATAATGACAAACAAGAATATATATGGTTTAGGGGTGGGGATCTCAACCATTTACAAGATATTAGAACTTTCTCAAATGGCAGGGGGTCGGGATGACCCCTGGGGACTAACCCTGTATATCATTCAAACCTTCTTAGCATGACAAACCAGAATATATATGGTTTAGGGGTGGGGATCTTGACCACTTACAAGGTATTAGAACTTTCTTAAATGGCAGGGGGTGGGGGTGACCCCTGGGGACTAACCCTGTATTTCATTTAATGTGCTTTATCATTTAGAACATTTTCAATTAAAAAGATTGTGTCTATCACAAACGGTTTTCAATTTATAATCATTTGAAAATTTAAAAAAATAAATTCCCATAGGGTTCTATAGTAAAACCCTCCTTTCTTTTTACCCCTCAAAGTACCCCTTTATAAACCCTACTTTCCAATGAATATCTAAAAGTTTACATAACAACAAATTTGTAAAAATGCTATATTTTGGGGCCAAAAAGGGGTCTTACCTGGCCTACTCCTTTCAACTTTACTAAACATGGATGTAATATTTTGCAATTTTGTAGCAAGAAGAAAAAGAAAATGTATTAAATGAACCAATTCATTCTGCACATTAATTTGGAAGCCAATTTTCCTTATGTCAATCTAAACTCATCAAGAATGTATGTCTCTTGAAATAAAAAACTTACCGTTTATACAGAAGAGGAGCTTCAATTTTGAAATTCATAAACCTATTACCATTTTTTTTTTAAATTTGAAATCTAAAACCAGATTAGATAGTATACATTATAAGCAGACAAATTTCAGCAAAGTAGACTGTTCCTGTGAAATTTTCTACCATATCAATATATATTACCTTTTGTAAACTCTCTTTATCTTGTGTATCCTGGCTGATACTAACCCTGTATTTCATTTGATTTGCTTTATAATGACAAACAAGAATATATATGGTTTAGGGGTGGGATCTCAACCAATTACAAGATATTAGAACTTTCTCAAATGGCAGGGGGTCGGGATGACCCCTGGGGACTAACCCTGTATATCATTCAAACCTTCTTAGCATGACAAACCAGAATATATATGGTTTAGGGGTGGGGATCTTGACCACTTACAAGGTATTAGAACTTTCTTAAATGGCATGGGTGGGGGTGACCCCTGGGGACTAACCCTGTATTTCATTTAATGTGCTTTATCATTTAGAACATTTTCAATTAAAAAGATTGTGTCTATCACAAACGGTTTTCAATTTATAATCATTTGAAAATTAAAAAAAATAAATTCCCATAGGGTTCTATAGTAAAACCCTCCTTTCTTTTTGCCCCTCAAAGTACCCCTTTATAAACCCTATTGCACAAACAAAACCCTGATTGCACCACTAGACATGTTAGTCTAACATATTGTGAAACCCTAAGTTAATCTGACAAGCGGTTTTGGAGAACGGGTGCGGACAAGTTCATATTTAAAAGTGGCGGAAGAGGAAGAGGAAGAAGAATAATAATAATAATAACTGAGCAAAAACAATAAGTCTTCCCAAACTTCGTTTGGGAGACTTAATAAAATAGATGACAGTTCCTTATTCCTCATTAAATGCATGCTCTCTCCCTTTTTCTCTGTTAAAATGTATTAATCAATAAATGGGGAATAATTTTTTACATGTGCATTTATTTTGACACTCAATACCAAAAAAACTTACCAAACTTAAATCAAATAACTAATAAACCCAACTGTAGGCAAGTTATGTGCATAATCCTACTATCAGCATTGCATTGTTTTCAAATAAAATAAAAACTTGGAAGTCCCGATTTAATTTAATGTCAGAAATCTTTTCCAATGGTTTTTTTAAGCTACGGTGGATTCATCATTATTCCTTGGATACCAATTTTCAAGGTTTTCACGGGTACAGATGAACCACAAACTTAAATATTGAAATAAGTACACATTTTCTATAGGCTTGTATGCTGACTTTTGTAACACCATGAAATCAAATAGCCACAAAATACCCTCCAAGTTGATTCTAAGATTAAAATTTATTATTGTACTTCTGTACCAGTTTTTGCTAATCCCAATATGAATACCTGTCATGTTCAAACATAGGTCTAGGTATTTGTTCTGGTAACTGTTGGTAACAGAAATCCTCCACATGGAACTTTCCTCTGTTGTCGTCTGGTTCTACACCATACAATGCAACAATAACACCTACATAAAGAATGGGAATATTTTAACAAGTTCACCATGCTACCTTTTGTTGTTATCCAAATATATTTTTATATACTTTTGTTCCTGACACAAAAATTGTTTGTATAATACATATTTCACTGATTGGCCAGCTGAATGAATTTGTTGGTCAACATTGATTTAGTACTTTAGACCTGATATACATGCATTTACAACCCCCCCCCCCCCCCAAAAAAAAATCACTAACATTTGAAAAAAAAAACAATCTGCGAACTTTCTTCCCTTTCACCATAAAGGTCTGTAATATGCACATTCTGTTTTCTGACTTTTTATAAATAAGAAATCAATTTAAGAATGATAAAACTGCTTTTAATAATGAACTTAATTCCACAATGCAATTAGGCTGGTAGTTGCTGTCTTATTTTCATAGTATCTAAGAAAGTATGTATTAGTAATTATTTCAATTTCTAACTACCTGTCACTGATGTCTGTATATTCAGTTTTCCAATTAATAAAATTCGTTGTAACTCATCTTCAAGGATCAATTTATCATTAACATCTGTGTACTTCGATTTAATTGGTTGAGGCATCAAATTGTGCTAGAAAAAAAGCAAAATTTTCTTATTAAATATTCAAAACAAATTTCATGTATTTGAAAACTTTGTAAAGACATCTTAACCTTCAAAAAGACTACAAATACCAACAGGACTCACACCAATTTGACTGTGACTAAACAAAGATTAGTATGCTCATTATTGAAGGCAGTAGTGTATGGTGACCTTCAGTTGCATACATTCATGTTCTTTGGTCTCTGGTGAATAGTTGTCTAATTGGCAATTATGCTACATCTCATAAATGTTACAGTAACAGACAGACTGACGGACAGGATGATTCCTATATATAGTTATGATAGTTACCCACTACAAAATGTTTTGCTTGCCTTAACTTGATTAGGAGTAAATATGTAAAAGTATGTAAGGTCAAGGTCAAACATTCATCTAAAACTGACAAGAGGACACTAGATATATCTTGTAGCTTAAGAATAATACACTCATTTAAGGATGTTCACTTGTCATGTTTTGGAATTTTTGTCAGATTTTCTGAATCCTCTGGTTTTATCCATTTGAATGCCTTAAAAAATTTTGCCCACTAACCCCCATTTTTCTTTTTATAAATCTTTTACATGTATAATTATAAGCCATCTGTAAAAGTCTTATAAAATCTTTGTTACTTTTTAATAGTTTTTGAGAACTTAAACTTGTCAATGATAAAGCTATGAAAAATCAAGAGAGAACATTTTCCCGCCAAAATTTCAATGGCTAATATCTCGATAACAAGCACATGGACCTTTATTTTTTTTTCGCTCTTTTGGTTCCTTTATTAATCCCCTATCAATATATACTAATGTTATGAAAAGCTTGTTATTTTGAAACTGAGTAGCGAACTTCCTTAAGTTGCTTTATGAATGAAAACATACCTCTTCACTTAATTCTTTGAGGATACTAGGTCTAAGTTCCATGTGTTTAAAAAGAGTACCAATTATAACACATTTTTCATCACTTTGTAACTCATGCAACTTCTTTATAATTACATCTTTTCCTACAAATATACATATAAATATATATACAGGTATAATTCTACAGCTGAAGTTTAATGGTGAACAACTGTTTCATCTGCCCCACTGATTATGCTAGATAAAATAAATATTCAAGTCCTTTTCAATTAATAATATTACTAACTTTTATATCATGTTAACTTTTTTTTAACTAATGTTTGAAGAAAATAAATGGAGAATGTGTCTACTTGTGTAAATATGCAAGAGTCAACTTCCACATACAAATGCAAGATTCACATAGTTAAGACCGTTTTGTGATTATAAGCATTGTGGACAAGTTTTTTATGTTTAAAAAGGGGCATAACTCATGAACGGTATAAGTGACGCCACCCAATTTCGAACTTGATCTGTGGTAATAAGCATTGTGTATAAGTTTTATAACATTTGGTTGAGGCAAATTAAAGTTAGAGAACGGAAACCAATTTTCAGGACGGACGGACAAGAGTAACACTTAAAGCCCCCTCCGCTACGGCGGGGGCATACAAATAAACATAGGACATTTGTAGCTTATAAAAATATTATTTGGAAAAGCAATTTCAAAGATATGTTTGGGAAGTACAGCTGAATAGAATGATGTAAAAACATTACTTTTAGCATGAAAATATTCCCCTAAAAAAAATACTATGAAAGTTGAAAGTATTTTACTGAAATATTCAAATGTGTTTTTAAAGCCAAAAGCAGCCTCTGTGAGATCATAAAGTAGCATCTGCCTGAAAATATACTCCTTGGAAATGGTAAAAGGGTTGATTTTGGGATTTCTATGGCCCTAACAACCCTTCGACAACATGGAGGCAACAAGAGGCTGTCAGAGTGACAGCAAACCGGATTTTCCTGCAGAGGTCAGACCCTGAACAGTTGAGCAAGTATGGACACAACATTTAAACTTTATATATATAATTAATAGTTCCCAATATTTTTTCTTTCATTTGTCACAAACTAATAAAGATCTGCAACTTATCTATCAATGTCAACAACTTTATCTACACAATGTAATGTAATGAAATTTATCCTTTAATAAAAATAGATTATCATCTAATGAAAATAATATTTGCAAATCTGGACCCCCAAACAGGATCAAGGAAAAATTAAACATTAACACACTCAACAAAAATGAAATACCACATAACAACTGTGACATCTACATTCAAAACACATACGACTTAAAAAAAAAATAGTTATAAAGAAATTTTTTACAGCTCCTGACTAAAACCAATTGAACAGATACAATCATTGATAGACTATCTATACATAAACTTATTAATTACACCATTTCTGTTCAAAGGGAAATAACTCAATCATATAATAATATTCACTTTTGGCTACTGAAAGGTCTACAACTCAACAACGAGAAAAGCTAAAATCGTAAAAATTGAACTTGACCTTCATTTAGTCACAGGAAACAACAAATCTAAATAAGAAAAAATTTCGTCAAAGTGTTTTCATGTTAATGAACAGACACTGTTTGGCAGCCACCTGGCCGCCGTACATCCCCAAATCAATATATAACCGATTTTTCCTTCGAAAATCAGATTAATAAAAGGGTTGATTTGAGGGGTTACATGTATATTACTATGGTCCTGAAAACCCTCAACAACATGGTGGCAATAAAACATCTTTCCGGTTTTGTTTTATTCTGGAATTTTTTGAACATCTCAAAGGAGTATACTATTTCCCACAAATTGATATATCTGAACGCCGAAATGTATGATGGCCTGTATTGTTTCATAGATGAGGACAGTTATGTTCCAATTGTCATAACAACAACCCATTCCTCTTTTCCTGAAATGTGACCTACCGAATTAGACATCACTGGATTTGGACTTGCATGAGCAACATGGCAGGTGCCACTTGTGGAGAAGGATCTGCTCACCCTTCTGGAGCACCTGAGATCAATGCCAGCTTTTGGTGGAGTTCATGTTGCTGTCTTTAGTTAGTTCTATGTTGTGTTTTGTATACAGTCTTTTGTTGGTTTTTCCATTTTTAACATGGCATTGAATATAACCTTCGAATTCTCATTAGGAAGTACCTGCATGCCTTATATTTTCTGTCTTAACTAAATGTAATATTGCTGTGAAATGCATATACATGTACTGTATAATAGGTCTACACTTTGATTGAACATTTAATTAATCACAGACACTTGTGATCTAATGGATTCTAAAAGGCTAATATGTCTTTTATTCAATTATTACCTGCTTTGTGTGTACGGAATTGTGCTGTAGGCATATTTAAACACAGGTTCGAGGTAAGGTAGTTGGCATACTTTTTTTCCAAAATACATAATATGGCGTGTTAAGGGATTCTGAGGGCAGCCAAATCGGAAAAATCACTCTGGTCACTGAATTGCTATAGAGATTAAGGCACTTATACTGTTATATGTAGTGCATATGTCAACGTATATTTGTTCCGCCTAACAGAAGTTCCACTGGAAACTTTGTTATAAACAATGTTATAATATCTGTTCCTGTTGGAACAAATATTCTATACCATTTATTCCGTTAGGAACATATACTGTAATATTAATTCCAGTGGAAATAATATTCTAGAATATTTTCTCCATTTGGAACTTATATTATGAAGGAACTTGTATTTCGTGACACATAGACCCCCACTTTTTGTTTACAAAACAGAAGCGGTGCAAAATATATAAACTACCATTATTGTGAAATGGTATGGGGAAGAGCAAGAACATGTTAAGTAAGGGAAAACAAGTTCATAAATAAAAGTTTAATCAAAAGACTATTTAGTATAAAAAAATCACAGTCCCGGCAGAAAAGGAACAAAAAATAAAGGTGGGTTCATGAAAATGAAAATTTCTTATTTTTTTACCCCACTTTGTTTTAGCAGCATCTACTACTTTGTCCCTCATACTCCACAACCGTTCAGCATACAGGTGAGCATACTGTCTTGTGAAGTTTTTAGATTTCACTCGAAATCTTTCAGATAAATCTTCATATTTACAATCAGTTCGAACATAATCTGCATCAGATGATTCTGTCGGTTCAGTTAATAGTTTTCCAACATTTTTCGTGTCTTTTTCAGGATTAAACAACATTTTCAAGTGTTCATTAGAATAACAACTCTGAGAACAGAAAACATTCCCGCCAGCGGAACTCTTCACAATGAAGATCAATTTTTTACATGATTTGACAACTTACCGAAACTGTATCAAGCAGATCAGGGAAAGCAACGTCCCAAAATGAATATGATTATATTCAAGATTATTACGCACCAATAACTGCAAATAATTCCTTATTGCATATTATCTATTCCTTCAAACCTTAATGTTCTTTTAAGGTATATGGGTAGTTTTTTTCAGAGTCAAGTGCCTGAGTAACAATACAAATCATAGATGTCACTTTGGTGGAGGGAATGGTTTTATACTTTAGAGCAAATTGACAGCTATTGCAATTTATTTCAGTAAAAGTAATATGTACTTGGTAAATATTCCATCGTTTTCATTTAAACTACATTTGTATCGTATCCAGTGTTCAATAACATCCTTTCATTTGTTGTTCATTTCCTAATTTTGTTTCATAGAAAACTGCCAAATATATATTGTTTTGATAAATACAAAAATATTGATATCTGAAATATACAGAATACAGAGTAAGTACATATATTTTATAATGTGGAATATTGACCATTTTGGCATATAAAAGCAAATTGACACATTGTGAATGCCACTTCTCTAAAACTGTTTACTTGATTACTTTCATACTGTGTTAAGACTGTTTGTCATCACGTGTAGTTGACCATACTAGTATACCATAGTTTTGAGTCTTTGCATGCATTATGAAATTTTTATGGGACCATTTTTGACTGTAAAACCCGTTCCCCGTATGTTCTCACAAAAATTCCTCTTCCCAGTTATAAATATATCAAATCACATGTCAAATGCCAACTAAGTTTTCTCACATTTTAATATATATTTAAGATTTTTAACCCTTCTTTAATATCAAATTTTTAATAAAATCCACTAAAACTAGAAAAGAGGGATATGGAGTACACAAGACATAAACTACATTTCACACATTTGTACACTGCATAGGTCTTTTATTACATGTTTTACTGTAAAGATAATTGTCTTGATAGGTCAAGTTGGGCTTTTGTGCATATGTAAAACCAGAGACATATAATACAATTGTTTGTATTATGTCTCTGGTAAAACTGATTTAACCCCACCACATTTTATGTCTGTACCAAGTCAACCTATCTGGACCATTTATTGTTGGTTTTTTTCAGAGGAGTCAGGTCTGTTGTACTGCATAATATTTTTGACGATTCCTGTTTACCTTTTTATGTATTATCAGATTTTGTATATTTCTATGCCTTAAATAAATCAAAACAGAATACAAATGTTTATGTTTTATTTTTGTGCCTTTATGCATGTCAAAATTTAAACAAATATATCAATACAAAGAAGAAAGAATAGATCAATTCTGTGTTCAAAATCATAAATAAACTCATGATTTTTGTTAACATCAAGTTAAACACATTTCTTATAAAAAAAAATACCCCTGTATTGTACATATTATTTATTAAACAAGTAATCACTTTCAGCCAAACTGAAAAAATCTGAAATCTTTAAAGAGGAAACAAGAAAAAAAACTCTGTCACTTAAATCAATTTATCTTTTATAAGGTTTTAGAGTGTTAAAACTGTGTGTCCAATAAAAAAAATAAAGATCCACCATAAAAGTTAACCGAACGATACTTTTTGCTAAAACAAGATCATTTCAAATATCAAAAAGAAATTAATTAATTTTGAATTATGCAAACTGTACCTGAGAATAGAATATAAATAGACTGATTATGATATTTGCAGGTTTTTCTAAAAATAAAAAATAAAGAGAAAGTACATTAATCCAGTCATCACTTTCTTGCAACAGTTCCCCTTAACATTTTTGTGAGCTATTTAAAAACTAACAATTTTATATATTTATTTTTAATGTCAAGACAAAATCAAAGAAATGAGGCTGTATCAAGCTGTTTACCCAGAACAAATTTGTTTTTTCAACAAGATGCATTTTCTTCAATGAAATCGTGAATTGAACTGTAAAATCGCAAATAAATATGGATTAAATACAGAAGTTTTCTTGTTAAATTTCCAAATGAATGGTAATATTCTCTTGCAAATTTTAAACATTTTAAGCAAATTTTGAGACCATACATAGAACAAATCAAAGAAATGTCTCCTGTATAAAGCTGTTTACCCAGAACAAATTTGTCTTTTTCAACAAGATGCATTTTCTCTCATTGATATTGTGAATTGAACCGTAAAATTGCAAAAAATAATTTGGATCAAATACAGAAGTTTTCATGTTTAATTTCAAAATGAAAAGTAACATTCTCTTGCATCTTCTATACAAGTTAAAGCAAATTTTAAGACCATACATCGAACAAATTTGCCAGCCTGTAAACATAAATTTCATCTTTTTGTTTGAAAGCTTTACTAAAAGTAATCACAATCTATTTAAAACCCTTAAGTGAAGGGTTCACATAACTTCACAATGGAGTGTCAGAACTGAAAAGAGTGTTACTTCTCCATAACTATTTCATTCTTTACTTTATACTCAGATAAGATCTCAGCACAAAAAATGGATAATACAATCTGATTTTATATGTTTCAATGAAACTCTTCAATCAAGAAATAAAAAAAACCAAATAGTTTACCTTACACATCTTGTAGTTATGTATAACCTCTTCAAACAATATTTTTATATTTACAATAAGCAATACCTTCAAAGAAATGTACAACTACAAAGAATAAATAATTTCATTGCAAAGTAGTTGTTTTTACCATATTTAAAGAACAATTAACATCTCTAATATTCTAAATAAATTTGTCTTCCACAAACATATAAACACCATTTATTTTTAAAGGAAGGCCTTTCAAAGTTAGTTTTTCCAGTTTTGTTTAGTATACAACTTTTATATTAAATAAGAGAGGTGGTATTGAATGCCAATGAGACAACTTTCCACCAGAGACCAAATGATGTAAAAGTTAGCAACTATAAGGCTATTTATGTTTATCAGGCTTATAAAGTTGTGTAACTAAAATATAGATTCTATATTTCTTTAAAAATATACTACAGTTTATTAATAGCTCACATGTTTTCTGAATACTTATCAATCATAACACAACATCAAACCTATCCTTTCTAAATTTGTAAAAAATACATTGTTTGATTTATGAGAGAAGATAAAGGGATAAAGAAACAGAATGTTTACTGTTTATGACCAAAAGTTTACAAAAGATTACATACTAATAGTAGATGGATGTAATTCATCACTCAAGTTCTTTTTAAAGAATTTCCTTTTATAACTTAATGGGTAAACTTGTTTTGACTTCTACTCTATGACATCATATTTTTCTGATTAGATAAATAGAAAAAATTAATATTACATCTTAAACTAACTTTTGTATTCTTCATGGAGTTTATATGAAAGTGAAAACAATAATGCTGGCAGTTATTTTGTCTTCTATTAATAAAATATGAAAATAAAAAGAAGCTAGCAGTTGAATATGACAAGCGAAAAAAACAAGAAAAACAAAGGATAAACATAACTGTTAAAGACAAACCAAGCCTAAATATCAACATATGTGATAAAACATTCAATGAATGTCCTTAACCATGATGATGCATACATGATAATGATTAAGGTATATACAAATAAATTATCAATGTACAATGTCTATTATAAATGTGATCTGATAAAATTACTTATATATATGTAATAGGATTCCAGATAATAAAAAGAAGCAAGTCTTCATATTTTGCTTTGTTTTTTCTTTCTTTTTAAACATAAAATTCTGTAAAAACATTGTTATTACAACAGATCTTCTAGTTGTCCTACTGATTTCATGATCGGTTTAAACCACAAAATTTTAATTCCTAAAGAAATACAAGTTGTCCGACAATGTATTTTATTTATGCAACTGAAACCTTAAATATAAAATCTCAATAAACTATGTTAACTAATATCCAAAAATTAAAGGTCTTTCCATGTATATCAATCATCATCAATTTTGCAGTGATAAATATGACACCAGATTATTGATGGAAATCTGATGGAATTCCTTCCTTTCTAAGACTCATTAACTATAGAAGGAACCATAGCAAGGCATGATTATAAAATAAATAATAGCTACAGAGATCACAACCATTAAACGCATGTATTGTTATTTCACATTATTATTGATCTATATTTATCATATCTATTGTTATTTCACATTATTATTGGTAATTTTTTATCTTTCCATTACTTTTAATTTAGTTTCAACTTTGTTTAACGTTTTACTGAATTTAAGAATATTTATACTTCCTAACAACCACATCTTGTATAGCATTGTACAGAAATACTGTGATCAAAATATAAATGTTTAAAACTGTTTTTTCTTTTATATCAAAAAAATTCTATAATTATCTCCCCTTATGACTCAGTTCGTAAAGCCTGCAGTGTTTATGTTCTTTTACTTTCTAAATGCAGGCTTAATAATTAAATGAAAAATTGATTTTTAACTACTAAATTATGACCAATTTCTTTAAACATTATTGAGATTACAAATTATAATCAGACCTTGAAAACTGATATGAATCGACATTTCTTTCTGGCAACATGACTACAATTCTACCATATATAACAAACTGATGATACAAATATAAACAAACAAAACTGAGTATAACAATTAACATGAGGCAGAGTTTTCTTATAATATTGCAACTGTCTCCATTGTGTAACAAAAATAACAAAAAACACAATTATGGTTTTATTCTATATACTAAACTAAATCTAACAGTCAGCAGTAATTAACAGAAAACTAATCAGTATACTAAATTTGTCAGTAAAATTTTTACATATTGTTTACCTCACAGTTATCATTGAACTTCACATTGCCAGAGACAGTAAGACAATCATCAGGCGTTTCATGAAGGTCATGAAAAAGTTTAGTGTTTCATGAAGGTCATGAAAAAGTTTTTGGCAGTGCATACAGATATTGATTTCTGGAAGTTCAATGCATTTGTTATTCCAAATTAAAACCAAAGTTTTTGGCATTTCATGATGAAAATATGGGGCAAGTATTTTTTAATAAACACCAAATATGAAATAAGATACCAGAAATATGAAGAAAAAAAACATGGTATAGAAAAATCTCTCCAATATAAACATCTTTTACTTTATTCAATAGAAATATATTTTTACATCAATAAAAACATAAACTTATTACAAATGTGAGCTGAATTTAGAAGTCCATACTCCCATTTGTAAAGAAATAATGACAAAATCCATGTTTTGCTATGTTAAACTTCCAAAAATCATTCTGATAAAAATAAACTGTTGACACAGAGATATGTCTTGCCTGAATGGTATTTTGATAAAATAATGCAAATGTCGAAATTAAAATGGCAATACTTTAATACGTAAACTATGCTAAACATTCAGAGTCAATTAACCAAGATCAAAGGTGCAGTGCCAAATAATCTTTGTGGAAATGAGAAATGCCAATGCTCTTTACATTTGTATACTAAATATAATTGATTTATCATAAGTGATTCCATTTAAATTGACCTTAACACAAACTTTAACACTTTAACTATGCAAAAGTTTCAAAGCCAATAGAACATAAATGAGGGGGCAGGGCCAAATAACCTCCATTGATACGAGGTTTGCAAATGCTAATACCACTACCAAATATCATTGACCTACTACTTTTCTTAAGCTGACCTTATTACAAACACATACATTGTTGACAACGCCCCCAACAGCACACCTTAGTCTCATCTCTGCAATTTGTTTGAGGCGAGACACAATTTAGGTTAACAATGACATAAGGTTCTTGCTAACTCATATCTTTATTCATATGAGGCCAACATAATAGATGGCACCCCAAGAAGAATAAAATAAAATTAGCACTATCCTTTATCAGCATATTACACAATTAAGATCAAAACTTTTCACTGAAGCAATATGTAGTAAGTAAATTAACTATTATACATACAATATTGTTCTGAAGGACAATGTTCCTCCTTCAAAATTCAAAATATGTCCAAAGTACTTAACTTTAAAGCTAAAAATTCAAACTCTGGCAAGAAGACATTTATCTTGATAATCATCATATAAACCAGGTAGCAGAGATCAGGAATGAAATTCAGAGATTAGTAACTTTAAATTTATGTACAGGTTTCAAGTTTTGTGTTTTCTTTTAAAATGCAACATATAATGAGCTTTAAACACCAAACAAATTACTGTTACTGAAATTACAATAAGTCCAAATCATACACAGAATAAAACAAAACCTAAAATCTGATGTGTAAATGTCATAACACAGGTATGTCATTATACAGGTATGTCATAACACAGGTATGTCATTATACAGGTATGTCATTATACAGGTATCTTGGCTCCTTGTTGTGGTGGTACCGAGCCTCCTCTGTTTATTCTTTTAGCTCTGCTGTAAAATAAAAATAAAATAATATAAAATTGATAATTTTATGTAAGTGTAACAAAATAAAAGTTTAAATCTATAAGAATATACACTCTATCTAATATGTTGATGACTTTATAATAGTACAGGTTATATGTATATAAGTTACTGATGCTGGTAGTGCATGTGATGGCATAGTAAGGTCAAATCTATTACAGTAAATCAACTAAATAAAAAGAAGGACCATAATTATGAGCGAATGTAAATCGATTAGGTGCATAAACCTACAATTCACCAAATCACTATCCATATTTTTTCTTATTTCAAAAATTCATTCCAAATTTACCTACACATATAGATCAAGTTTTTCTTTTCTATGCGAGACATAATTTTCATTACCAGGTCTTTGATGGTTAAAAAATACTGATAAAAAATATATCTTTTATTGCTAATTATTTTGAATATGTCATCTTTTCTTTTAATTCTTCAACTTACAAGAAAACTGACTGAAAACAATATTTTCAATCTATTAAAAATTCTATATATTGTTGATGCCAACACATCACATGATGGGAGATGATATTCAAGCATTGTTCAGTGCATTAACAGAAGAACTATTGCAAGGTACTGTTGCATGATACTAGCCAACTACTAGAAGGTGTAAGGCTCAATTTTGGTTAAACAGGAAAATGCCAATGAAAAAAATGGTACCTTATTTACAAATTATTTATATATTCTGATATTCATTTGTAGTGCTAAAATTCATGTTGTTTTTTTTTAATTTAAATTCTTAAATCATTAAAATCATTTATATTTTTGCCTTTGGAAATACCCATATATAACTGGGTGAAACTTTGAATTTTAATTTTGAAGGAACAAAATTTTGTTGCTTATGAAAAACGTTCTATAAAAGCAAGTAAAAATCAGTATTTCATTGCATCCATATAATATTGGTTTGCACACTGAATTGAATGAGGTCCAAGTAGATCAACATAATATAATGAAAGAAAAAAAATTGTCTATACTACACCCTTAAGTACAGGTTCAAAATACTGAATGTGATATATATTATTTATAAATTCATACACACCAATTTTTATCAATTTTTGTAAACAAAAAAACATAAAAATGTTCCTAAAAATGTATTTCCAAAATTGTCACCTCATTACTTACAGGAATATCCCATTCCAATCCTTTGAAAAAATTGACAATGTCTCCAGAATAGCATCATCCAGCAATTCCACAAATTCAGAAAGTTAATGTTTAATAATGCTACTATGCTACGTAGACCTTTCAAATATAACCTCAAACTTATAAAGGTGTTCAAACTCTTCCAGTGACTAAGATCTGGGGGATGCTAGATGAAAATTTGGTGCAAGGCTCAAACTAGAAATTGCATGAAAGCTTTTATCTACAAAGGTAATGTTGTGACATGGATCTGTGACCAATGACTTAAATTAAATATGATTCAAGATCTCTAAATGACCAAGCATATGACAATGTTTGATAGACTAGAAGTCTATTCTGCCTACAAGCTTGCATCTCTGATGTCATTTGGTGACCTTTGACCTTAAAAATGGGGTTGAAGCTCTCCCCATAGCCATGTATAGGATGATGTTTGAAGAAATTTGGATACAAAACTTGAGTTCTATAGTGCTTAGTCTTCAAAGTTTTTGTTATGACCTTGACCATGACCTCCAACCTTGAATATTTATAGAATTCAAGACTCCAAGTACTGCCAATGGAAAAGCAGTGGACAAAGTTTGATGGAGATTCGAAACAAGATTAGTCCTCTATTGAACAAGCAAGAGTGTTATGGAATGACAACACACTTGAACAGAGTTTGTTGTTGTTATATCCTGTATGTATTTCATTGCAAGGTTATCTTTACAGGACTATTTTTTTTCTTTTCTATTATATTTAGTTGATGTCATATACTGAAGAATCTACTTTGAGCCTGTTCAACACAGTGTTGCATCTACTCCTAAAAACTAATGAGAAAATGAATAAGAAATAAAAATCCACAATTAAAACATTTATTTTTCAAAAATAAAACAAATTCATTTATATTTAAATTTTTAAAGAAAAACTAGAATTAAATTTTCTTCTTACATCTGACTATATTTTCAAATTTTCCTAAAACACCAAACATGTGAATGATTGATTTGGAAAGGGAGAAATAATTATACCGGAAAGGGAGAAATAATTATACCCAAACTTTCCAAACAGAGCAGGAAATGAGGAGAGCTCCATTTTAACAACAGCCTGGAAACGAACTATAGTGAAATAAAAAAATTACAGAGTTATAATCCATACTTTTCTGATTTTCTAAAATTAAAAACTTTTATTATGCAATTTAAAACTATAAGTATATAATATGTAGACCATGGCATGGCATAAAAAATAAACCATTAGATAAGCAGCTTATGGAAAGTTAATGCTGCAAAATTGAAAATTATATAAAAAACTTTTAATTCAAATAATTTCTCTAATCACTTGACATAATAAAATGCTTCGCTGAGCGCAGCCTGATACGACCGCAGTGGTCCAACCCTGAACAGTTGGGGCAAATTTGGATACAATATTCAAGCTTGATACTGTCTGAATTTTGATTGTGATCAAATTTTTGACATAATAAAGGTTTCTGACACAAAATAAATGTGGTCAAAGATCTTACAAATCTATTGCCCAATACTGCGCAATTGAAGATTTCTTCTTTAACTTTTCATAAATTTGAAATTTGAAAATTTTTGAAAAAAAATATGAATTCCTTAAAAAAATTGGAAAACCCCCCCCCCCCCCCCAAAAAAACAACTTTTGGAAACCCCCTTAGGAGCAATTACCCCAAGACTCAATCCCATCCTTCCCTTTGTAGTATGGAACCTTGTAGTACAATTTCAGAGAGATCCATACACTTAAACACAAGTTATTGTCTGGAAACTACAAAAATTGTTGTTTTTGGCCCCTTTTTGGCCCTTAATTCCTAAAATTCCTAACCCCCTAAATGAATCCCAACCTTCTACTTGTGGTATTAAACATTGTGGTACAATTTCAGAGCAATCAAAATACTTATACACAAGTTAATATCCTGAAACTAGAAAAATGCTTCTTTTTGGCCCCTTTTTGGGCCCCTAATTCCTAAATGGTTGGGACCATCATCCCCAAAATCAATCCCAACCTTCCTTTTGTGGTATTGAACCTTCTTAAAAAATTTCATAGAGATCCATTCACTTGAACTAAAGATATTGTCCGGAAACCAATGTGTCTTCGGACGACGACGCAGACGACATCATACCATTATACGATCCCAAAAATTTTTTTGCGGTCGTATAAAAAATTAAAATATCTATTTCTTGTCAATTTAAGCAATATAATTTAGGCAAGGGTGTAAGACAACAAAAAGCTTTGGAAATGTGGAGATATTCACCTTGGTCTAGCTCCATGCATATAATCTGACCTAAATATATAAATAAGGATAAAGTTCATTTATAGTTCTCAATTTAGCACTGTTTTATGACCAGTTTTGGTATGCAATCCCCCCCTCCTATCTGTTCTGAAACAAACTGTAGTTTTAAGGATGTTTGCTAGCCTTGTTTTTGACTTTTTGTCAGCTATTCGGAATCCTCTGGTTTTATCTATGGAGTGCCATTAAATATTTCACCTGCTAGCCCCTGCTTTTCTTTTCACAATTTAATTACATCCAGTTTTAAAAAAGCCATTTTTTTAATCTTATAAAATCCTTGTTATTTTTCATAGTTTTTAAAAGAAAAAAAGGTGCCAATGATAAATGTATAAAAAAAACTAGAAAAAAATTATTTCCTGTCAAATTTTTAATGGCTAATATCTCAAAAATAAGGACAGGGACCTATAACTTCTTTCTGCTTTATAAGTAATGTTATTTATATACTATTAATTTAAGAGTCTTTTAAAAAGCTTGTTTATTTTGAAACAGAGTAGCAAACATCCGTAAAAAATATTTGTCCTTTTCAAAGTTTGAATTATAATCATAAATGAACTATGGTATAATTTCAATAGCTTAAACTCATCCTTATAAATGGATTGTCATACAGCTAACTGTATTAGAATAGATTTAGCCTGAAAAAGACTTTTACATTATCAAATGTTCAAAAAATTTATTAATTCAAAAGTGAAAACAAAAAACTGTTGAAAAATTTTAATGGAAAGTCAAGTTTAAGCTACCAACTATGACAAATAAATCATAAATATTTAAATATTTAGTACAATGGATTTTCTGCATGCATTTCTAAAACAAAATATTGATATCAAGCTGTATACATATGGGATTTAGAAAGGAAATAATATAGCAAAATTCAGATACCGGTATGTATTTTTAATGACAGGTTTCTGCAAACCCATTCCATTAACATTATGGTAGTGTGCTACACTTGTAACTACTTGCTTAGCCTATTAAGGACATTTCATATCTCCAAGCTTTGGTAATGTCTAAACTGTTTCATCAAACATGAAATGCCAATTTTTTGTATCATTTCAACCTAAAAGCAGGGATCTCCATGGATGAAAATTAAACGATGGAGGAACTTTCACCATGACAAAACCCTGTGTCTACGGTGTGGCAGGATTGAAAGTATTTCATTCCTCCATTTCCATGTAAGGAACGGTGAACAGGCTGATATATTGCTTATTATTTTTATTTCATTATAGAATAACCAATATTTTCATTAATTGTCATTTGCAACAATTCCAATCCCAAGCCTGCATTGCTCCCCCTTAGTCAAGAATGACCTTTTTCCCTAATCGTTTTCTTGCTATTTTGGTAATTGTATAGGGCTTAAAAATCGGTGGGAATTTTTTTCACTGTCAAATTCAGAAGTCATGAACCGGTATCGACGATTTGCAGCATCAACAAAAAGAAGTTCCGTACTCGTTTTGTAAAACGCTGAAGAAGGCTTTAGTCTTAGAAGCATGATTTTTTTTATTAGTTGTTAGTGGCTTTGAACTAGCTGTCAGTAACTGCGAGTACTCTCAGATCTGTGTCTTTTTGTTGTTTGGATGTACAAGTACCTGGCCACGTCCACTTGTATTTGTATTATTTGTATTTGTATCCATCTGATGAGTTAAGCCTCTTTCAACTGATTTTTATAGTTTGTTCTTATGTTGTACTGTTACACCACTGTTCCAGGTTAGGGGGAGGGTTGGGATCCTGCTAACATGTTTAACCCCGCCACATTCTCTATGTATGTGCCTGTCCCAAGTCAGGAGCCTGTAATTCAGTGGTTGTGGTTTGTTTATGTGTTACATATTTGTTTTTCGTTCATTTTTTGTACATAAATTAGGCCGTTAGTTTTCTCGTTTGAATTGTTTTACATTGTCATTTCGTGGCCTTTTATAGCGGACTGTGCGGTATGGGCTTTGCTCATTGTTGAAGGCCGTACAGTGACCTATAGTTGTTAATTTCTGTGTCATTTGGTCTCTTGTGGAGAGTTGTCTCATTGGCAATCATACCACATCTTCTTTTTTATATTTGGAGGTCAAAAATTAACAACTTAAAAGGTTTTAATGACTTCAAATAGAAAATCTTATAGTCATATACTATGCAACATTCATCTTTCGATTCTGAATGCATGTAAACCGGAAAACCGGATGTATCAATTTTGATTGTAAACTACGAAATGAATTCGGAATTACAATATGAAATTTCTTCAGATTATCAAGTTACAGTTAATATTCATGTGTTTACTTTTAAACTTGTAAAGTGATTCAATATTATCGATAATTGCTGTACTCATGTTATTTGGCGTGAAATTATGTTCAGTTATACGTCTTATTTTGCACTCGTTTAAAAAGGGGATGCTGATTGCGAAAGTCAATATAAAAGCATGTGTTCCACTTGTTAATCTTTTTTCTTTGTTACTGGATTTAATATTTATTTTTTTAATCTAAATTTTCATTAGCATTTGCTAAAACGTAATTAAATAATGCAATCAATCGTCTATCTTGATCAAGAGTTCTCCTGTCAGGTGTGTTGATCTACCTGTACAAGTGATTAGCAATCTTTAGCCGGATATCCCTCAGAGCTTGAAAACTGTAATCAGGAGGACCCTTTGGATTATAATACAAAAAGCCTTAGGGTTAATTGATTATAACTGCTAACAAATATGGCGGCGGCTAGAGAAACGAAAAAATATTTTGACAATGGCGGGGATCATTTGACGATGGCGGAAGATAATTTAAAGATGGCGGGGATCATTTGACGGTGGCAGAAGATATTTTAATGATGGCAGTGCACCATCATAAAACAGGTCATGGAGATCCCTGCTAATAGAGAGTTCATACAGACATCAATGAATGTTATCAAAGTAGACAGTCAAGTCTTAATATTTCCAATATTACAAAGCAGTGCTACATGTACTACAATTTTTAGACAATTAAGCAGACAGAAATACTGTGAAAGTAATTTTATCTTATATGAAAGCTTCTCAGTTTTGGAAGTAAAAAGTAAGACAAAATGAATTAAAAAATTCTCAAACCAAATGTTTTCAACAACTTTTTCCATCACAAAAAGTGACATTTGTGAATAAAAGTACTTTCATTGTATGAGGATTAAATATTGACCAGTTGTAATATGATTTTCTAATTTTATTTACAATGTTAAATAGTGGTGGTTTCTATCAGCATTTCATAATTAAGATCAGCACAAATGTGCAACACATGTTAAGGGCAGAACAGATCTACAATCACTAAAAGATTATTTTGACATGAATGAGTAGCAATCTGTGTCTCTCAAAAATACATGTTGTAGTTATATCATGCCTGGAATCAAAAATACCTTTTCAATGACCTATTTTATGACCTTCAGAATCAACTGCTGCTACATCCTTGTACACTGGAAAATTTTCAGTACAATTTAACTTTTATAGACATTATAAAAACCCATCTTAATTTGCATACATCTTAAAAAAAAAGAATATCTCTGGTTTATAGCACCAAAAAAATCTCAAGTGTATGTAGACATTTTGTATCCAAAAAGGATAACCAAACATAATTTTTAAAACTGAAGTTAAAAAGAAAAGGAAGGGGAATAAAACATTTAAGATTGCAATGCATTTAGGGTTGTACATTTCATGAAAAACTGTCAGGAGGTTAGGGGTGTTAAATAAAAAGAAAATCAACAATATCAAGATAGTTTGGAAAACATTTAGTCGATAGAAAGCAAGTTGGAAAAGAAAGTAATTTTCACGCCCCGAATTAATAACTTAATAGATTCTTTAAATTCTAGTACAACTAAAGAAGTAAGATTTTCACCTCTGAATTCCTCTCATTTTAGAGAAAAATCTTTATTTTAAAAAGAAATTTTAAGGTTTCAATAAGATATCATTGGAGTTCTACTGATGTATATGAATATAAGATAAAGATTCAATTATGTAGTTAATTCAAAATATGAAAAGCAATGATTTAAAATGATGCATGCAATCAAACATGTAAAAACATTTAGCAACATCTGTCCTTTTTTGGTTGAACAAGTACAAGCAATGTACATAAGAACTGTGCTTTTTGTGCATATTAGATCATTCCAGCTGCACACAGAAAAATGAAAATTAAAGTCTTCCTGATAAAGAATTTCTGAGGCATGTGAATTTTTGGTGCCAAAAATTATTGGTAAATAGGCAGTTAAATGATTATTACTTCTAGCCTTGCTTTGTACTGTGAACATCAAATTTTTCATTGGCATAAAGAATATTCAATTTGGCAATTTCTTATGGTCTTATTTTATACAATCGACTCGTTATCTTGAAGTCAGCTGGACCAGAGAAATATTTTGAGATACCCGTAGTTTGACTCAAACGAATACAGGAAGTTTGTCAGACCAAGTGATACAACTCTTGCTTAGCTTGGTAAGGCTAAAACAAATCCAGATGAATATGGGTAGAGGATCGATAGTCGGGTCTAAGATTGATGTATCTGTACATATATGTAAATGGTCTTTTATTATTATAATAAAATTATGTTTTTCTTGGGTTATTTCTTTGCACAGTCACAATTTTTCTGAGGTCTAAGGCCAGGAGAACAATTTCCAATCGATCTTAGTGTGATTTTAAGTTAACAAAGTTGTTCATTCTCGTATACAAGAGATTTGATAAAAAATAGATTTTGGTTTATTTCTTTTATTTCGATCTTTTTCCGCAAAAAGAAAATATAAAACATTCAAGACGCCAATTGAGTAGTTTTGAAACACTTAATACACAACCAAGTTCATTAATGTATGATTACAGTTAATTGATATAAAACAATTAAAATAATTTTTCATAATCTATAGCAATGTATCACTAACTATTTATTATGGTGATCAAAGTTTATCTTAGGTAAACACTCGTGGGAAAAGGATGTCATGAATCAATACAGTGGTCAATGACCAGAAATTTAATTACAGGTGTAATATTTGTCAGATTAATTTGTCAATCCATCTAAATCCTCAAGGTCATGTTTTTACATATATGTATTTGTTCAAGATTAAAAAAAAAAGCAATTTAAATGCTTTTGTTAACCTTGAGACTGTAAATTTGGTTCTAGTTATCTGAATCTCGACTGATCAGGAAACGAAATACATATATTTCTTTGGAACGAAGTTCAGGACCACAGGAAAATTTCAAGTCAAACGAGTGAGAAACCAAGAGTTAACTGAATATATATTTTTTATAAAAGGAATGGCTATTTAACCGTAATCCTATTTGGATTATATAATTTGTGTCTTCAGTATTTGTTTTATAGCCATAGTCTTAGAACTAAACTCCTTGTGTTCAATTTGTAAGTAAGATTGAGCATTTCTTTTACATGCAAAGTTCCTACACTTGAATTTCACTTGGCACTGACAAAAGGATGCAGGTTTCCAAATTATTTTTTTTATAAGTCACAAAAAAGAATTTTGTGTGTTTTGGATTTTGATATTTTGAGATGATAGCAAATAGTACTTTGTATATATGTTATGTCAATATTTCTGTTTATTGTAATTATAAAGCAGCAGCACAGAAAAGATCCAAGCAGCGTGCTAGTAAACAAACTTAAGTTTGTTTTTAAGTTATTTGTTTTGAATAATATTGAAGATATAGAATAAACTTAGGTGTAAAGATACATAAGTATAATGAAAACTATAATTTCTTTTGTTTTGTCATATTTTTTAATTTAAAACACTACCAGAATTTTTCAAGTGCAATAGTTGTATTATTAAAATATCTGGTTTTTTTATATTAATATTTTATATTATTAATGTTTTCAGTTATGAGAAATATCAATACATGTTATTATCCTCTCCATTTTTTCATGTGACAGTTCATCCACAAAATCCATTCTCATGTGAAATTCAACACATGTGAAACATTCTGCAAATAAAATACTGAAAAACACCAAATATGAACAATGAGAATAGAGGTATCAAAAGATAATAGCAAAAATAATGTGGCATGAAAAATTCTCATAAAATAGTATGCTTGTTAATTACAAACCTTGGTGAATTTGAGTTTGGACCTGCTGACTTCTTTTCTCTTGGCGGATCTTTTACAAAATTTCTACATGAAGCTAGTTTTGTCTCTAATGCCTGATAAGTATAGAAGAAGCTTTAAAAAATCATATTTCTAACAAAACATTTAAACTCAATCATTTGATAACATCTGAAATTGAAAGGTTTAAATTCATGGTTTTGAAAATATTGAGAATTTAAACTAGAGGCTCTCAAGAGCCTGTGTCGCTCACCTGATTCTACTTTGGTTTTGGAAATCATGTAAAAATAGATTAAAATCATAACATTTATCTGATACCCCAATAATGAGTGAGGCCAAATTTGGTTTAATATTGGCCCTGTAATTTAATAAAAAATCCTGGTGGCCATCTTGAACAGTAAATCGACAACAAAGTAGCAACACTTCATCAGCTCCTCATAAGAAACATTTATGCCATGTTTGGTTTCATTCTATTCAGTGCACCTCTAGAATAAGCATTTGTATGTATTTCCCTTAGGGTCTTATGTTAAAGGAAGTCCCCCCGCTGGCGGCCATCTTGGATGAAGGATCAGCTTCAAAATAACAACAATTAGTCAGCACCTCATAACGAACATTCATGCCATGTTTGGTTACAATCCATTCAGTGGTTCTCTATAAGAAGACATTTATATGTATTGTCCATAGGGTCCTTTGTTCAACATTGTCCTCAGCTGGCGGCCATCTTGGATGATGGATCGGCTTCAAAGTAACAACACTTTGTCAGCACTTCATAAGAAACATTCATGCCATGTTTGGTTTCATTCCATTCAGTGGTTCTCTAAAAATAGACATTTGTATGTACATGTATTTCCCATAGGGTCCTATGTTAAACTAAATCCCCAGCTGGCGGCCATCTTGGATTATGGATTGGCTTCAAAGTAACAACACTTAGTCAGCACCTCATAAGGAACATTCATGCCATGTTTGGTTTCATTCCATTCAGTGGTTCTCTAAAAGAAGACATTTGTAAACATTTCCCATAGGGTTCTATGTTAAACTAAGTCCCCCGCTGGCGGCCATCTTGGATGATGGATCAGCTTCAAAGTAACAACACTTGGTCAGCACCTCATAAGGAACATTCGTGCCATGTTTGGTTTCATTCCATTCAGTGGTTCTCTAGAAGAAGTTCAAAATGTAAAAAGTTAACGACGACGACGGACGCCAAGTGATGAGAAAAGCTGACTTGGCCCTTTTGGCCAGGAGAGCTAAAAATGGTTTAATCCACATGTATTGTATGTATAAGGGGTCTTAAAAACTATCAATTCAAATTTTGAGTGATTTTGATGCTTTATGTCATTTATTTCTGAAAAACTGCATAACAAATAAGGGACAACACAGCATAATCAAATAAAGGACAACAATTCAATGAAAAGAACATTGGAAGCTGACATTCCAAGTGAAATAAATATAGCATTGTGAATTCAGATTTAGTGTGTACATTTGTTCATGCAATCTTGCATAGTAGGAATTATCAAAACAATAAAGAAGTAGATACTGCAGAATATAAAAATTGAACAAGAATGCATGCATTGTCTTGCTAAGCATACACCCACTTGGAATTCTAAGTCTCAGAAACAGGAAGTGGGTGTCTAACAGAACAGAAGCATATATACTGTACAACTCATTACTGTTAAACTGCTGACCGCATATGAAGTTATTCTGTTATGTAGTTTTCGAGAGTGTGACGAAAAGAAGTTAATTCAACATTTTAAAAGGTAAAAGTATCGGCAAATAGGACGTAGGCATCTGTCAGATCTTAGAAGTGCTCTTATTTTATCTGTGTTCTAATCTTAATATGAATTTGATTTTTTGTTGTTGTTGGTGACTTATTCAGATGCAGTTCTATGCACAAGTAAAAACGTACTCCAACTTTGCGTAACAAATCCCCGACTATATTTAATGCTGAGATTCTGGCTGATGGTGTTAGTGGTGTACTACCATTTATTGTTGGAGGAAGACCTGGAAATAAAAGAAAATATTTATTATTTGTAAAAATCTGCTTGTCTTTGGGCAATAAATAGATTTTAGGGACTCCCCCGTCAAAATAAATGTGTCATTGCCTCTTTATCCTTATATTTCAAATGAAGAACATCCTACATCCGATTGGTAAATGATTCATTTTTATTTAGCTATATTGACATATTACTTTATTTCAAAGTTTTTAAGTTTGTTACAAGGGAGATAAATTACCTTTACTGTAGCTATTCATAATGCATGGTTATTCTGTCACTTTCTACAATTTAAAGCAAGGGAGACAAGTTGCTTTCACTGGAAGTTTAAAGATATATAATAGAGAATTAATTGTTCCCTACCTGCATGAATATTAGAGGCTATTGACACAAATGGAGATAATTCAACTTACAGGAATTTCAGATGAATGAGAAGCTCAAAGTCTGAAACTGTTCTAGCAAGATGCTGTTCCTTTTACTGGAAAAATTTAATATAACTGATTTTTTTTAAACTAGCTTCTTATTCCATGTGTCGAGTTACCAGGGAAAAAATTTACCTTTCATTGGAGGTGTTTTATAAGACTGAGATGTTATTATGCCACTATCTACTAATTTATTAGAGTCTATAGATCCTGTTGGCGTGGTTACTGTGCTATCTTCAGATTCATTCTTCACAACCTCTGTACCACCAAATGCTTTCTTTACACCAAGTTCTTGCTTCAAATCTGTAAAAAAATGAAAATTAAGGAATTAAATCTGTGAAATTTATAAGGTAAATCATTGTGTTTTGAAAAGCTCTCGATTTCAAACATTGTCTGGACGTCCATACTTTAGACTAGTTTTGTTTGCAAATAGCAAACAGCTAAGTATCTAATCAAAGAGCTTAGTAGCTCTATAGGAAAAGATTGTTTTCCTTGATGTAAGTTTTGTCCCAAAATAATTGAACTCTACATGTGTTTTTATTTAGGAAAAAAAGATATTCCATACACCATATACCTGTTTTTTCAGCATTCAGATGGAACAGTTAAATTTTCACTGTGTTAATTATTCACATTTCATGACCTTGTTGAATGCATTTAAATGAACAGTGTTATGTTCGTGTAGAGTAAATTTTGATGTTAAATGTCTATTGCATAAATAATGAAAATAAGACACACTAAAATCTCCAGATATACAGTATTCTTTCAAAAAGACACACCTAGCCAGTTTATATCTTATATATTAACAAGAATGTGTCCATAGTACACGAATGCCCCCTCACACTATCATTTTCATGTTCAGTGGACCATGAAATTGGGGTCAAAACTCAAATTTGGCATTAATACATGTATTAGAAAGATCATATCATAGGGAACATGTGTACTAAGTTTCAAGTTGATTGGACTTCAACTTCATCAAAAACTACCTTGACCAAAAACTTTAACCTGAAGCGGGACAGACGGACAGACGAACGGACGGACGAACGGACGCACAGACTGAAAAACATAATGCCCCTAGGTGGAGCATAAAAACAGCAGCCATGCTGAATATCCAACCTCCAGTGTTATATGGATATTATTTATTTGAAATTTTTGTGAAAATGGTCCATCTGGGAAACCGCATAAGTTCTGTATTTGTCATGCTGTGGTCTAGTCAATTTTAATGAATAGAATGTTTTTTGTGCATTTTCCTTTCAAGGCAAATGATTCCTTAAGGCATCTCTGTTCATACGACAAATGAAGCCTCAGGCATCCCTGTTCATGCACCATACAAAGACTCAAGGCATTGCCTGTCAGACACAGAATGATGCCTTTAGGCATAGAGGATTCATGAAAATATCATTTTCAGTTGTATAGTAAAGTATTGTGCTTTTTATTCAGCATTTCTTTTTTAATTATCAAAATGAAGCACATTGAGTGTTAATTCTTGTTAATGTTTTTTTTTATTATTTGAGAACAGGACTGATTACCGTCATGATGTTTGTTTCTACTGAAAAATCGATGTGGTTGAGTTTCTTTTGTTTTTCTTCTTGGATGAACTTGGCTTACTGGATAACCTTTTTTCCAAGAGTTCAGGTGGCAAATTCCTTTGATTCAACTCCTAATAACACCAAGTTAAGGTTTTTTAACAGTCTTAAGTAAAGATACAAAATATTCAGGAGAAATTATCAGGGTTTATCTTTTTTACCAGAAGAATAAAGCCTAATTTTAGTTACCTCTAGTTTCATCTTTTAATCTTTGTACAGTTTCTGCTAGACATTCTTTTTCTTCTACTTCACTCTGTAGGAAAACATTGACTTCCAGGGCCTGTAAATTATATTATAACATAATAATAAACTGTTAACACAGAGATATGTCTCGCCTTTTTGTACTTTTGATAATGCAAATGTTGAAATAAAAATAGCAATACTTTAACATGTAAGTTATGCAAATATTCAAAGTCAATGAACCATAACTGAAGGTACATGGCAAAACGATCTACATGGAAATGAGATGTGCCAATGCTAATACAACTGCATATCAAATACCATAAGTCATTCCCTTTCAACAAACCTAGACCTTATATTGACTTGTAAACTATATAAAAGTTTCAAAGTCAATGAACCAAGATGAGGGGGTGGGGCTATATATTCTCCATGAAAACGAGACTTGCAAATGCCAATAAATTTGCATACCAAATATCATTGACTTAACATTAGCAGTTCATCTTAAACTGATATAATCACAAACTAATACATGTAAACTAAGAAAAAGTTTTAAAGTCAATAGACCATGACTGAGGGGGCGGAGCCAAATGAGATGTGTCAGTGCTAATACAACTGCATACAAAATATCATTGACCAACCACTAGTGGTTCACCTTAAAGAAGACCTAATCACAAACTAATACATTGTTGACGCCGACGCCGCCTTCGACGCTGGAAACAGCATACCTATGTCTTGCTTTTTGACTCCGTCAAGGCAAGACAAAAACTAAAAGAACTGTATGTATAACGATAACATGCAACTAAGATTGAAGAATTATCTTAAAATATGTAAAACATGTGTCACAATAAGATAAGATATGATTGATTGATTGCTGGTGTTTAACACCACTTTCAGCACCTTTGGCTACATAGTATATCATAGGGGGAAGTTTATATTGGTGGAGGAAGCTGGAGTTCCTGGAGAGAATAATGATCTTCAGCAGGAATACTAGCAAGCCAAGTCAATTAAGATTGGAATCAAATTCACCTTTCATTTGTGGGGTTCGAACTCACAATCTCAGTATTAATAGGCTAGTAATATATAAGATGAACTACTAAGACCACTCAGGCACTGAGGCCCGTCAATGAAATATATCCATAACTGCAAAATCTTACCAGGATCTGTCGTACTTAGAGCATTATGTTGTTGCGTAAGCAGTTAAACATCAAAAAAATTTTAAAAATGTAGATTTCTATCGTTAGCTAAATGATAAATAATTCTTAAAACTAAACAGCTTTCAATGAACTACTTGTTTCTAAATTTTCAATGAAACATGATGTTATTTTTATTTGTTAGTCCTTTGTGAATTTCTGCACTTTTAAGGTGTACTAACTACATGTACATGAAAATTTACATCCGTATACATTATAACCACTAAAATTATGGCCTTATTTAAAAAAAAAATTTTTCAACCAAAATGTCTTCAAATATTCCCAATCAATATACCACTTATTTAATAGATAACAAACCTGGTTAAGTCTCCCTTCGAAATCTTCTAATGATACAACTGTAGCCCTGAAAAAATATATATATATTGAATAAATATTATCTTTAAAACCTACTATTTATCACTATTAACACTATATTTTGCACAGCAAAAATCCTAAACTTAAAAGTAGATTGACTTATGATTAAAGTGAAGCTGGTCCATTTTAACCCTATGGTTTCCATTTTGATTTGTTTTAGAATGTTCAACAACATCAAGCATGAGCGCAAAAAGATGATAAAAGCTCATATGAAACTTTGCACATATTAATTACATGCATATGAATAATATGAACAACTATAAACCAAAGATCAGCTCAATATTAGCAAGCACAGCTGCAAATGGAGATCTATTGTTTCTGTAAAACTATATGCCATGTCAATAACTAGTGAAAGCATAAAGAAAGAACTAATGGAGGGGACAATAGTAAATCTTCATGTTCATAAAATAGTTCACAATGGGGAAAAATTCAGACAAAACAAAAGCATGGTTAGTCTATGGCTTTGTTCTACTAAAACTGTTTTACTGTTGATTATATGTTAATCAGGATCTTCACATGGAATATAAAAACTGAGCCCATATCCCTGTGAAGCCAAAATAACACAATTATATTATAATAGAGTATTCTGATTTCAATATTTTTTTATCATTCTGATCTATGGTTTTATTTTCTTCACATGGTATATGGGCTCATATCCCCTGTCAAGGTAACGAATCATTATGCACAGTTAGCTCTATCTTCACTCCAGTATATTCAAAACATCAAATTACTGAACAAGTATACTAAAAAGACATCTATCAAGTAACTTATTTAAAAAAAAAAAACCTTTTGGCTCTTTCTAAGTCATCATTTGTCTGTTCTAATTCTCGTATGTATTTTTGTAGTTCATCTTTGAAAGCTGTCACTTCTGCTAATTCATCTTCAAGTTCTGTAATTCTTTTATGACTTCCTGATTGTTGATGGCCTAATTTCTCCTGAAAATTTACATACCAGACATTTCATCAAACTTGTTCGTTTACCTTAATGCCACATATTAAGTTCATATATTGACGATATGATTAAAAGGAGATGAGGGATGTATGCCAATGAGAGAGCAACCCATTGACACAAACAACCAAAAAATATTTAGGGGTCAACATTCAGTCTTCAACAATGGATAGATATCTACACAATATTCTAAACCCCCCATCAGTCTAAAAATGTTGTGAATAAGTTAAAGAGACTATTAGGTATGGTATTTTTCTCATTATTGAAAGGCAGATTTTACTCATTGTTGAAGGCAGTACTGTTGCCTATCATTGCTTACATCCACTTCATTTGAACTTTGGTGGATAGTTGTCTGATTGGCAATCAAATCATATCTCCTTATTTTTATACATGTACATATTTTGGCTTTAATATTGATTCACTTATAGGGTCTTTGCATCAGAATTAAACATATTTATTCTAAAACAAGTTGTTGGCATGACACGGGTTATGTTCTTCTCATATATTTTATGATGGTATAATACTAAACCCCTAACAGGAGGGATTGTGCCTGATATTCATATGATGAAGACATAATCTTTCAATCAGTTTAATTGAGGTCTGGAGCTGGCATGTCAGTAACTGCTAGTAGTCTGTTGTTATTTATGTATTATTGTCATTTTGTTTATTTTCTTTTGTTTCCTATTCTGACATCGGACTCGGACTTCTCTTAAACTGAGTTTTACTGTGCGTACTGTTGTACGTTTGTTTTTTCTACATTGGCTAGAGGTATAGGGGGAGGGTTGAGATCTCAAAAAACATGTTTAACCCCGCCGCATTTTTGCGCCTGTCCCAAGTCAGGAGCCTCTGGCCTTTGTTAGTCTTGTATTATTTTCAATTTTAGTTTCTTGTGTATAATTTGGAGTTTAGTATGACGTCCATTATCACTGAACTAGTATACATATTTGTTTAGGGGCCAGCTGAAGGACGCCTCAGGGTGCGGGAGTTTCTCGCTGCATTGAAGACCCATTGGTGGCCTTCGGCTGTTGTCTGCTCTATGGTCGGGTTGTTGTCTCTTTGACACATTCCCCATTTCCATTCTCAATTTTACTATCAAAGATCTTCCATCAGCACCAAATTATCAAAATAACAAAAAACATTTAGATAAAGTTTAAGTTGTGAAGGAACCGATTCTAATTAAGCCAGCATCTTCATTTGCTTTAGTTTATATCCCATGGAGATCAGGGAGATCCAAATAAGGAATCAAGACAAAATTTTAGGTAACCTATTATGTTAAAATTAGACTGATCAATAGAATGATCCATTACTAAAGTCATCAACATTTCGTCTGTTCTGTTCATACATCAACCTTACCATTTGATTATAATAGAAATGATTTAATTACCATGATCTACCAAATAATGATTAATGATTTTGGTTATTAATACACTAAAGACGATATCAATATCACCAAAATGCTGGACTCTTTTATCAACAAATCATTTGTTGAGTTTGGTGGATTGATATGTCAGCAAACATTTGGTTTTCCAAAGGATACAAATTGTACAGCCCTACTATCCAACTAGTTTGTTTACTCATATGAAGCAGATTTCATACAAAATCTTCTCAAAGACAAAAAGGAAAAGCAATTTGCCAAGTTCTTCAATGTCGCTTTTAGATATATTGATGATGTCATGTCACTCAATAACCCCCATTTCAATGAGTGCTTGCATCTCATATACAAGAGAGCTTGAAATTCAGAATACTATCAAACAAGAAGGTCTGTTTCATATTTACAACTTTTTCTTGATATTGACACAGATGGACTACCACAAACTAGGATCTATGACAAATGTAATGAGTTCAGCTTTCCCATTGTTAACTTCCCATTTCTCATGAGTTACACCATCCTGAATTGGTTTACAGATATGATGTGTCCATATCTCAACTCACAGGCGCCACAATTAGCAATCTTATATTTTTCGATACCAGAATAGTCATCTGATCTGTAAATTTACAGATTTGTCCGATTTTTTATTGCCAAAATTACAATGTATACAATGACAAATAAAATGCTACGCTGGGCGCAGCTTGATACGACCGGAAAGGTGGAACCCTGAACAGTTGGGGCAAGTATGGACACAACATTCAAGCTTGATACAGTACTGAATTTGGATTGTGATTAAATATTTGACACAGTATAGGTTTCTGACACAGAATGAATGTGGTCTAAGAACTTAAAATTTTTAATTTACCTATTCAAACCATATCATTATTCTTTGCTTTTATATATAAATCAGAAATAACCAATTTAAAATGGAAAATTTTAAAGAAAAAAAAGGAAAAAAAATCCCCCCTCAAATTTTTTGAACCCCCTTATGATTCATCACCCCCAATCTCAATCCCAGCCTTCCCTTTGTGGTATGGTACCTTGAAGTACAATTTCAGAGAGATCCGTACACTTGAACACAAGTTATTGTCTGGAAACTAGAAAAATGCTATTTTTGGCCCCTTTTTGGCCCCTTATTCCTAAACGTTTTGGGCAATTACCCCCAAACTCAATTCCAGCTTTCCCTTTTTGATATGGAATCTTGTAGTTCAATTACAGAAAGATCCATACACTTACACACAAGTTATTATCATGAAACTAGAAAAATGCTTGTTTTTTGCCCCTTTTTGGCCCCTAATTCCTAAAATTTTGAGGCAATTACCCCCAAAATCAATCCCAGCATTCCCTTTGTGATATGGAACCTTGTGGTACAATGTCAGAGAGATCCATACACTAACACACAAGTTATGTCTGGAAGTTACAAAAATGCTTATTTTTGGCCCCTTATTCCATAACTGTTGGTACCATAAACCCCAAAATCAATCCCAACCTTCCTTTTGTGGTATTGAACCTTATGGTAAAATTTTATGGAGATCCATTCACTTAAACTAAAGTTAGAGTGCGAAAACCAATGTGTTTTCGGACGACGACGACGACGCCAATGTCATACCAATATACGACAAAATTTTTTTTAATTTTTGCAGTCGTATAAAAGTGCTTGTTTTTTGGCCCCTTTTTGGCCCCAAATTCCTGAACGTTAAGGGCAATTACCCCCAAACTCAAACCCAGCTTTCCTTTTGTGATATGGAACCTTGTAGTACAATTTCATAAAGATCTATACACTTACACACAAGTTATTGTCATGAAACTAGAAAAATGCTTCTTTTTTTGCCCCTTTTTGGACCCTAATTCCTAAAATTTTGAGGCAATTATCCCCAAAATCAATCCCAGCCTTACCTTTGTGGTATGGTACCTTGCAGTACAATTTCAGAGAGATCCATACACTTGAACACAAGTTATTGTCTGGAAACTAGAATAAAATGCTTCGCTGGGCGCAGCTTGATACGACCCCAGAGGTCGAACCCTGAACAGTTGGGGCAAGTATGGACACAACATTCAAGCTTGATACAACTCTGAATTTGGATTGTAATTAAATATTTGACACAGCATAGGTTTCTGACACAGAAAGAATGTGGTCTAAGAACTTCAATTTTTTTAATTTACCTATTATGGTCCAATGTCCAAAATCAAAATACATGGTTAGATTCAGCATATTAAAGAACCCCATATATTCAATTTTTGTTGAAATCAAACAAAGTTTAATTTTGGACCCTTTTGACCTCAATATGAACCAATTTGATAGTGGGCCCACAAATAAAAAATCTAAATACATGGTAAGAATCAGCATATCAAAGAACCTCATATATTCAATTTTTGTTGAAATCAAACAAAGTTTAATTTTGGACCCCAATTTGGACCAACTTGAAAACTGGGCCAAAAATCTAAAATCTAAATACATGTTTAGATTCAGCATATCAAAGAACCCCATATATTCAATTTTTGTTGAAATCAAACAAAGTTTAATTTTGGACCCCAACTTGGACCAACTTGAAAACTGGTCCCATAATCAAAAATCTAACACATGTTTAGATTCAACATATCAAAGAACCCCAAAAATTCAATTTTTGTTAAAATCAAACTAAGTTTAATTTTGGACCCTTTGGACCTTAATGTAGACCAATTCAAAAAACAGGACCCAAAATTAAAAATCTAAATACACGGTTAGATTTGGCATATCAAAGAACCCCAATAATTCAATTTTTGATGAAATCAAACAAAGTTTAATTTTGGACCCTTTTGACCTCAATATGAACCAATTTGATAGCGGGCCCACAAATAAAAAATCTAAATACATGGTAAGATTCAGCATATCAAAGAACCCCATATATTCAATTTTTGTTGAAATCAAACAAAGTTTAATTTTGGACCCCAATTTGGACCAACTTGAAAACTGGGCCAAAAATCTAAAATCTAAATACATGTTTAGATTCAGCATATCAAAGAACCCCATATATTCAATTTTTGTTGAAATCAAACAAAGTTTAATTTTGGACCCCAACTTGGAACAACTTGAAAACTGGGCCCATAATCAAAAATCTAAATACATGTTTAGATTCAGCATATCAAAGAACCCCATATATTCAATTTTTGTTCAAATCAAACTAAGTTTAATTTTGGACCCTTTGGACCTTAATGTAGACCAATTTAAAAAACGGGACCCAAAATTAAAAATCTAAATACACGGTTAGATTTGGCATATCAAAGAACCCCAATAATTCAATTTTTAATTAAATCAAACAAAGTTGAATTTTGGACCCTTTTGACCTTAATATGAACCAATTTGATAGCGGGGTCCACAAATAAAAAATCTAAATACATGGTTAGATGCAGCATATCAAAGAACCCCATATATTCAATTTTTGTTGAAATCAAACAAAGTTTAATTTTGGACCCCAATTTGGACCAACTTGAAAACTGGGCCAAAAATCAAAAATCTAAATACATGTTTAGATTCAGCATATCAAAGAACCCCATATATTCAATTTTTGTTAAAATCAAACAAAGTTTAATTTTAGACCCTTTGGACCTTAATGTAGACTAATTTGAAAACTGGACCCAAAATTAAAAATCTAAATAAATGTGGTCAAAGATTTTACAAATCTAATGCGCCATACTGGTCTTCCTTTATAAATATGCATTTCTTTAAACATAATTTAAAAGCAGTGTAAGGGAAGTAACCAAAACGTTGTATTCTGATTACCTCCCTTACACAGTTTTAAATTATCTTAATTGTTTATTAACCATTACTTTATACATAATTTAAAAGCAGTGTAAGGGAGATAATTTCAATGATGTATTTGATTTATCTCCCTTACACTGCTTTAAATTATGTTTTGTACTAAAGTATTTGTCCATTAATGAGGACAACCTTGTTTTTCCCCCTTTTTTGCCCCTAATTCTTAAACGGTTTGAGCAATAACCCCCAAAGCAAATCCTAACCATCCCTTTGTGGTATGGAAACTTGTAGTATAATTTCAGAGAGATCCATACACCGTTCCACAGTTATTGTCTGGAATCTAGAAAATGCTTATTTTTGGCCCCTTTTTGGCCCCTAATTCTTTAACTGTTGGTACCATAACCCCCAAAATCAATCCCCACCTTCCTTTTGTGGTATTGAACCTTATGGTTAAATTTCATAGAGATCCATTCACTTAAACTAAAGTTAGAGTGCGAAAACAAATGCGTCTTCGGATGACGACGCCAGACAACGCCGGACGTCGACGACGACGCCAACGTCATACCAATATACGACCACAAAAATTTTTTTGCGGTCATATAAAAATGCTTATTTTTGGCCCCTTATTCCTAAGCGTTTTGGGCAATTACCCCCAAACTCAATTCCAGCTTTCCCTTTGTGATATGGAACCTTGTAGTACAATTTCAGAAAGATCCATACACTTACACATAAGTTATTGTCATGAAACTAGAAAAACGCTTGTTTTTTGCCCCTTTTTTGGCCCCTAATTCCAAAAATTTGGAGGCAATTACAATCAAAATCAATCCCAGCATTCCCTTTGTGATATGAAACCTTGTGGTACAATGTCAGAGAGATCCATACACTAACACACAAGTTATGTCTGGAAGTTACAAAAATGCTTATTTTTTGCCCATTTTTGGCCCTTTATTCCTTAACTGTTGGTACCATAACCCCCAAAATCAATCCCAACCTTCCTTTTGTGGTATTGAACCTTATGGTAAAATTTCATAAAGATCCATTCACTTAAACTAAAGTTAGAGTGCGAAAACCAATGTGTCTTCGGACGACGACTACGACAACGCCAACGTCATACCAATATACGACCGCAAAATTTTTTTGCAGTCGTATAAAAACGGGGCAGCAGTTTCTGATAATTTAAGGGCTTCTAGATGTTACCTCTAATGTGGTTTCATTCAAATCTAGAATACATTGGCGAAAACTTTGTAAATAAGCTTATTTCAATAAGCTATTGACTTTTCTGTACAAATCAAAATGCAGTGTACTTTGTTTTTTTTTTTTTAAAAGACAGGGAAAAAGACTTGAAAGCCTTCCAGTAGTGATCAGTTTTCTGGAACAATGGTCAACATTATTTCTACAAGAATTAATTTACTTAACTCATTGATGAACATTTTAATCATATTACTGCATATATGTTAGTTCATAAAAAGAAAATTTTATAGTTTCATCAAACACAGTTTTTGGTGTAAAGTATTTTATTTTCTATTCAATTTCAATAAGACTTATTTCATCGTCCCCAACTTTGAATTGAACTTTCGGTAAAAGGTCAATAAAAAAAGATTTGCATGTGTTTTGTGTGTGACTAGGGAGCCATGAACTTTTATACATTAAAGAAATTACAAAGGAATAAAAGTATATAACAACAGTAACAGCTTTTATACTCCCAATCTTGATAAGCTGGGATATAAAAAGCAGACTTTGTTTCCTTCATTCCATGTAGCACTTTCTGCTTTTCTGTGATAGTTACACTTAATTGTATTCTCTGTGGTCAATTACCTTAATTATACAATAAATTGTATTGATTTTCAATTACAAAACATCTTTAATTTATTTTTTATACAAAGGCACCTCATAAAAATCAATAAACTTTTCATACCATATATAACATGAATTGTAAATTATCTAGGTATTGATAAATTAGCATCTGTTTCAAGGGTTGACCTGTTCATGTATGACTAATAATTCTATTTATATATATAGTGTTTTACGCTTATCTTCCCTCAAAAAATTGTATATGCTTCATGCATGCAGTATAAGTATTTATTATATAAACAGCAGTATGTTCCTTTAAAAATGTTTTGAACCACTATGTCCATGATGTCATAAATATTATACTAAAAAAGATGTTCACATGATGTCGTTAATGTAAATGTACATATCGACGTATTATATGAATACAGTGTTTGTGGTCCAAGTAGTAAATAACATGTACATGTATAACAAATGTTTACCAATAGCAATTATTTACTCAAATAATGGTTCATAATGACATACTACATGTGATACAATGTGTAATAACTAATTATTTATGCCAGACCCATGTTCTTGCAAATATTTTAACATTTTATAACTTAGTATTTGGTAACCATAAATTTTGAAACAAATGGCAAATTTTTTTTGCTATGATATAAAAAAATATTCTCTTCAATTTTTTTGTATATCAAACTGCCATAAAAAGGTACATATGAACCGGTACATATATATAAAGGTGAAGCAACCAACAACCAATCATTCATGAGATCTTTCTTGTCAGCTTCAAACACATTTTTAATTTATAAATACATGTAATAGAATTATCCTTCTGTATAATACTTACACGTAAAGCTTCATTCTCTGTCTGAAATTTATTTTTTTGACTTTCATTGTCTTTGTTTTTGGTTTCTAGCTGTTCCAATTGTGCTTCTAATTCTAGTTCTAGCTCCCTGCTACTGATCTGAAATTCTTCTAATTCTTCTTTTGTTTCTTCCAAACTAAAATTTATAACACACTTAAATTAATGTTTATTGTCATAAATAACCAATAAGTTGACAAAAAAATTCAGTTTTTTTACAATTTTCAGAAAAAGCAAAAACAAGTTTGTCCCAAGATTTTAATTAGCTCTCTTCTAATTCTGGTTTGTATTACAATGTCCATATCAATCTTAACTTAATATTTTAATATTGAAAATCAATAGATCTTCATAACCAAAGCTTTATTATTACTATCATCAACATCTTATGATAGATTTTGTCAGATCCTGTTCATGATCCATGTTCACCATATTATATGTACATCATGTACATGTTAAGGGTATACATTTAGAAACTGATCATTTACAATGTACATAATAAAACAGCAACATCTAGTTGGAAGAAGACTTCTAGTCGTATGGAGGACATTAAATTTGATGCCTTATTTAGGGAGATTGCCAAAATTTCTGTACATGTGTAAAGAACCCTTGCAACATATGAACTGCATAGGATAGAAACCACCTTATGCAAATGAATTTCAATACATCTGTGGACTTATTTTGTGTTAAATAAAATGCTCCGCTGGTCGCAGCTTGATTTGACCACAGAGGTCGAACCCTGAACAATTGGGGCAAGTATGGACACAACATTCAAGCTTGATACAGCACTGAATTTGGATTGTGATTAAATATTTGACACAGCATAGGTTTCTGACACAGAATGAATGTGGTCTAAGAACTTAAAATTTTTTAATTTACCTATTCAAACCATATCATTATTATTTGCTTTTATATATAAATAAGAAATAACCAATTTAAAATGGAAAATTTCAAAGAAAAAAAAAATCCCTCCCCGTAATTTTTGGAACCCCCTTATGATTCATCAACCCCAAACTCAATCCCAGCCTTCCCTTTGTGGTATGGTACCTTGCAGTACAATTTCAGAGAGATCCATACACTTACACACAAGTTATTGTCCTGAAACTAGAAAAATGCTTGTTTTTTGCCCCTTTTTGGCCCCTAATTCCTAAAATTTTGAGGCAATTACCCACAAAATCAATCCCAGCCTTCCCTTTGTGGTATGGTACCTTGCAGTACAATTTCAGAGAGATCCATACACTTGAACACAACTTATTGTCTGGAAACTAGAAAAATGCTTATTTTTGGCCCCAAATTCCTAAACGTTTCGGGCAACCTTGTAGTACAATTTCATAAAGATCCATACACTTACACACAAGTTATTGTCATGAAACTAGAAAAATGCTTGTTTTTTGCCCCTTTTTGGCCCCTAATTCCTAAAATTTTGAGTCAATTACCCCCAAAATCAATCCCAGCCTTTCCTTTGTGGTATGGTACCTTGCAGTACAATTTCAGAGAGATCCATACACTTGAACACAAGTTATTGTCTGGAAACTAGAAAAATGCTTATTTTTGGCCCCTTTTTCCTAAACGCTTTGGGAAATTACCCCCAAACTCAATTCCAGCTTTCCTTTTGTGATATGGAACCTTGTAGCACAATTTCAGAAAGATCCATACACTTACACACAAGTTATTATCATGAAACTAGAAAAATGCTTGTTTTTTGCCCCTTTTTTGGCCCCTAATTCCTAAAATTTTGAGGCAATTACCCCCAAAATCAATCCCAGCATTCCCTTTGTGATATGGAACCTTTTGGTACAATGTCAGAGAGATCCATACACTAACACACAAGTTATGTCTGGAAGTTACAAAAATGCTTATTTTTGGCCTCTTTTTGGCCCCTAATTCCTTAACTGTTGGAACCATAACCCCCAAAATCAATCCCAACCTTCCTTTTGTGGTATTGAACCTTATGGTAAAATTTCATAGAGATCCTTTCACTTAAACTAAAGTTAGAGTGCGAAAACCAATGTGTCTTCGGACGATGACGACGACGCCAACATCATACCAATAAACGAACGCAAATTTTTTTTGAGGTCGTATAAAAATCTCTATGCAAAGTCTGTAACCGTTTGAAAATTGAGTTGATACAAGAACCCTACAAATCAGACCATAATTCATCTTTTATTTTGTATTTGAATGTTTTAAAATCAATCAAAGTCTGATACATGTACATATATACATGCACTTGTATGAGGTCGATTTCTATCTGATGTCGTTCATATCTTGCAACTTATTGTTGACATCATGATTCATAATATCTTATACCCAGTCAAAGATTCTAGTTATCTACATTGTAACACAAAGTTACAGTTTTACCTGTAGCTACCTAAACATTTTTGTTCAGATTCATTTCAATTGTATTTGAGTAGCTTGTATTTTACCTAATAGCATTTTTTAAAGAAAATATTGGATATGCAACAACTTGTATTGTATTACACAATTATAATAAGCTAAAGAGGTGGATTTACACATAAACCACTAATCTAGGTACATGTATATCACAGGTGGAAGATTTAAAGTTGAACTTTAATATAAAATTTAGAATGGTACAGATTACAGAGACAGCAATTCATACAAAATAACTAAAATACATCTGGAGGATAACATGCTGTCTTCAACAATTGACAATTGCAAGTGCTTTTACAATATGTCATGCTCGAATCCCGGTCTAGAAAAGTTATGAAAATATTTACAGACATTATCATACATCTGGCTTATTCCTTTCACATCTTATTTTGAACAAAAATAAACTAACGTCATTGCTATTACTTACTGTACAAAAATAACTTAAAATTAAAGGTGCAATTAGTTAAATATTTAACCTGTAATACTTTATACAATGTATATGTACTACAGTGTCAGCTCATCCTGAGTCTGATGATTTTGCTTCTTCTACCTATTTACAGTTGGTAGTCGCCTACTGTAAATGGGTTGAAGATATCCATAAATTTTTTTATCTTTTACTCTAAAAATTTTGAATGAAAATCTGTCTGTCCTTTTCTATGGAATGGACTTGATTATTTCAAGATACAACAAAAGAATTCACTTCATACATTCGTCATTGTATTTGTGTGGGGTTGACACTTGACAAGCTACAAATCTTGCCCACTTGCTATTTTGACTGTAAACAAGTTGAAAAGGCATTTAAACAGTGTTTTTTAAATAAACATAGCGTCAATAAAACCTCAGTTTATTGTATTTAAATAAAACATGTACAAAAACAGATATAAAGCATGTTAAAAACTTTGATCTGAAATAAGAAAAAAACATTATAAAATTGACTTCATTTGAGGAAATATTTTAATAAACAACAGATTAACTTTTTCTTTTGTGAATTGAAAACAGTTATGATTTTTTCCTTTATTCTTTTGTGACATTCCAATCAATGAAGTTCTGGTTCATTGTATTTAATATCTGATCAAATATAAAACAAAAGACATTTAAATCTCTGACTTAAAAGTAATCCAATTTTAAATATTACATTTAATATTTTAATATGTTTAATATCAATACACAAAAAGAGCCAGTAGATGGCCTGATTGTAAGATATTTAACAAGAATGTTAACCAAATGTATTGATATTCTTCTCTAAATATCTATGTTATCAAATGTACCCATAAAATACTTGTTTACACATGATATATACAGAAATGGATTATTGTGTGGTGAAAATGTAAAACAATTCACATTTAGCAAACTTTTTTGGCCTAAAAAATTTCTTTATTTGATCCATTTATCCAAAAATGCATAGTGCAAACAAAACAAGTTGAACTGTGAGCTACTTTGTACTGCTGACAAACGATACCCCCGATACAAGAATTCGGTAAACAGGAAGTTGAAGAGCAATAATTATGAAAATGCATCACAGGGTAAACCAGGCTCACATTTAGATTAATGAGTTCTTGAGAAAAATGTGATAAAAATTTCATACATGGTCATGATGTGAAATGTTTTTTCAAGTAGGGGTAGTAGTTGTGCAATGAATGTGAAAAATCATCATACGGTATAACATGTTCACATAAAGCCCGACAACAAATCTCAGAAAGCTCTGATTTGTAGTTCTAGTGAAAATTGCAAAATTTCATAGGAAGGAGGGACAAGACAGACAGAGGTTAAATAGTATACCCTCTCCTTTCAGAGCTCGGGTATAATGAATACTCTTGCAACATGTCTGTATTAATACATGAATAATAACAAAATCAGTTCTGTTTGTTTATAATGAGGTTAAACCCGTCCAAGTCTTTATTCATCATTTCATCAGTTGATTTTTTTTTTAAAGTTGCAACAATCCTTGAACTAATATCATACATTTTCTACATGTACATGTATCAAATGAATGATATTACATATATGCAAAACATTAAACTTCAAGAAAGTACACACTAAGATATCTCATTTGTTGAAATATTGGAATCATTTGAACGGGCATATCTTCTAAGTGATTTTCATAAAAGCTGCCTTTAATAAACTTGAAATGGTAAAAACATACATCAATGATAAATACGGATATTTTTCCAGTATTCAAGAGACAGAAAAGCAAGCTTCCACAAGACAAACAAGGGAGGTAACTAGCCGGGTTTAAAAGATATTACATGATGGGGTGGTAAATCAGATAAGCAATCAACCTGCTTCACTAAACACAGTGTTTTAGCTGAAAACCTATTGTAAACTGTAAAGGCTCAAAAAGTCTTAAAAATAGACATTTCTGCAGTAATTTTTAACTTTTTCAAAACTAAAAATACGGTTCTTTCAAGAAAAAAATAACTGAATTTCATGAATTTGTGCTATTTTTAATATTTACATCTGAAAAAAGTCTGAATACAAGAAAAAATATTACAAGTACAATGAAATTATAACTTGTTTGAGTTATATCGTATATTTCAGTAACAATATATTGGTTTAAACTCCGTTTGGTGAACCAACGCCTGTGTGAATCATTTCGATAGAGTCCCTGAAGTGGATTGGGTTGTCAAATTATGCAAATGAATGCATCATTTAAATAATACTCAAAATTGACAACAACACTTCAAATGGTCTGCAATTTTATTTGCTATGGTCTACATGTTTCACCTGCAGGGCAGGCGTCATCAGGACAATTTTCATACAGAAATTAATTACTGAAGTGCTCAAAGAGTAATATATTGGTATGAGGACTTTTACTATTCCTTATTCTGGCATCTGCAAATGGAACTGATCTTATCTTCCTTTAACATATATATTTCAAAGAATTTTCAAATACTTATTTATTTATGCATTTAACATGTTTAACATCCAGCCCTGGCAGTATTTTTGGTGATTCATGTATTATTCAATTTTTCATAAATTATCAAATTGCATGTGTGCACTTTCACCTATAATCATTTTTCCCTGTGATACTCAATATCGTAAACATGCTAAAAGGCTTCGTTGCACCTGTCTAAATGAAAAATCTATCTACGGCATGTATGTTTGTTCAATTAATTTACGAAGGTTGTGAATACAAGTGACAGGTAACACATCAGTGCTCTTTGGAAGGTGTCATGCATATGAGAGTTTGTTTATTAGAATTTTCATGTACTGTGAAAAAAGACAGTTTGACAAAAGAATTTTGAATTAAAAACTTATTCAGTATGAATTTTAAAAGTTAGAGTTAGATTTGGCACTCATTAGGGTAAGAAGGCATGGTAAGGAAATCCTTAAGTTAACCATGTTTACACATACTTGTTTTGCCTAAATACAAAATAGTTTTTTTTTTTTCATACAACACCAAAAACTAAAATGTTATCTTCTTTCTATCAATATAAGTATATGTATATATCAAATAATAAAAATGTTTTGTATGTAAAATCAGATACATGATTTGTATCTTAAAGGGGCATTAGCTGTCAAATTTGTGTTCACCGAATTGACTCAAATTCTCATATTTGATTTATAACATACTAAAATGTATATCCAAATTACAATGAGTCTGAAATAAACAATTAACAGTGCATGGACTCGATAATATATATCAGCATTTCGTGTATATTTTAATCTAGACGCCATCTAATTAATCATCAAGATGACCTCCGAAGACTGACGATGGTCACATAACCCGATATAAACATATACATAAATATATATAGATAGCGACCTCGTGCAATTGGACTTTTCTAGGTCTGTTTGTTTTCATGTAATAGGCTAAAAAAATAAGTTAATCATCTTTTTTACATGTATATGAATGATTTTTTGTGAATTGAATCAGTCAACGAAATTGGTTCATCCTTGTTTCACTTTCAATGTTGACATTCTTTTCCTTTTAATGGCTGAACACGACTAATACATGCGTAACCAATCTCTAGCTAATGGGTTAAATTGAAGTTCACATGAATACGGATTCAATGAGGTTAAATTGTTCACTTGCAAGTGAATAATTCATCAGCGATGTTTCTTAGCTTATTTTGACAAAATTGAAATAAACTGGCCGCTAAAAGCGAATTGTTATTTCTCTATTTCACTTTCATTAATGATTGAACAAAAAAAAAAAAAAAAAAATTTTTTTTTATATCTCGTAGCTAATGCCCCTTTCTTGTGACATTTCCTGTCATGCATTTTCACATTGTTATAATATACATGTACATAAAATGACTGTGCATTTTTTCAACTCTGACATCATCATTATCTCACCCTGTACATGTTTGCAATCTACACAACACATTTGATTTCATTATCCTGGCTGCTTTTAAATAATTATTTCAATCATGAAATTTGTAATTTATAAAATATATACACTCAGTTTGATTGCAGAAGAAATAACATGTATGCATCCAAAAGTTCTTTAAATGTAGTAACTATTTGATTGTCAAACATTGATTTTCATCAGTGTAAACACAGGGGAGCTGAATATGAAACCAACATTGCATTATACTGTTGCAGAAAAAAAGGTTGTCGAAAGGGAAGGCCAAATTTCATACACTATAATCATATAAAATACAATCTTGCAAACACTCCTGCAACACAACATACATGTATTTCCACACAGTCAATGCAACTGTCCATAAAAATTATTTCCACCCTTCTTACTATCAAAACCCTTCTTCTTCTTCGGTTGTACAACAATACTTCAGGATACTGAACATGCTGAAGATTACTTGTCGTTGCGCATACGTGATATTTACCAAAATTTAGTTATCTTGTAAATGCCAAAGAATATTCTAAAATTTGACAATACGTGGATGTATAATACAAAAAAAGTGATTAAAATTAACATTATTCACAAAATTTAGCATCTGGATTAAATCAGTTGACAGAGAACACCTTGGTGATGCCCAATAGTTGCAGATTAATTATCAAATACAGTGTATGAATCATAGTTTTACATACATAATTATAAGATTTTATTCTTACTCTTGTTTAAATTTTTCTGCAGTTTTCCTCCAATAGTCTCGTTCATCTTCAACAGACGCAAATCTTTTACTATCGTCCATCTTATAACCTATAACAACTGTTGTTCATGTGCCACAATTGTTTTATTTTTCACATGGAAGATACAATATCAATGAAATGAAGATCAGTCACTGAAAGTTCTATCTGTTCACATTTCAAAGCATTTTACGTTCTTTATGTAGGGGTTAAATAAAAAAAAAATAAGAAACTGCGAGGCTGTTTTCAATGTTAGATTTGGTACTGTCAGTGTGATGTTTGTCGAACTATTCAAATTAATTCTATCATTTCCTTTTCATTAATTTGAAAGAATATCAATGACAACTTTTGAAATCTTCTTTGCTGGATACTTATTTCCCAGTAAACATAAATTGATTTACTAAATGTTTCGCATTCTTCCAACGAATAGACCGGAAACTGACTTTCCCAGTCATCTAAACGCTTTACCCTAGATCTTTCAGACGTTTTTTAAGTGGTTACCGTATTTTCTCCAAAAAATTTAAAAGGTGGGATCTACCAAGAGGGTGGTAAAGGGGGGTGCTTGCACGAAAAAAATAACGTGAAATAAGACATAATTTCACGTTGAACGTGAAATAATTTCTGTCATGAACGTTGCACGAAAAATAAAGACTTTGATGTGAACCTTTGGTAACTGAGTCACTGTCTTCTTGTATATATAAACTCTCTGTTTTACTTGATATTCCCGATTTAGTATACACATTTATAATATAAATGGTTTACGGCTTTTAAAAAAGTATATAACGATCTTCTTAACTTTTAAAATGCAAATATCCCGCAGACACGAACGTGTATTCTTGATCTATTTCATTGTCTTTATTAACAAGAATAAACACGTTGTCATGCATGTCATGTTATCCATGCCACCAGCTACCACGACTCGTGGTTAAAAGTATCAGAAATAGGAAGTTTGAACTGACAGATGATGGAAAGTGCAAACACGTTAAAGCTCATCACAGTTAAGATGTCGATCCTATTTAAAGTCATTCTTTTCATTTTACCAAAAAATTCAAAGAATCGGCAATGAGGAAGCATGTATCTAGGAGATCCGAAAAGTGTTCACAAGTTAAAAACATATCAGATTTGAACTTAATATGAAGTCATTATGTAAAGTTGTTTCTTAGAAAAATCTAACGGAAATATTTGTTGGATTGACGAACAGAAGCACAAGTGGATTGTAATATATCCCTAATCCTACAGCTTTCCCTAGTAATTCATACCATGCATGCAGGTCTCATTAGTCCTTTTATTTTTTTATGTTTTCTAACATTACAGTCATGAACTAGAGACATATATGACAATACAGCAATCTGAATCAAATCGAAAGAATACGACATAACTAAATATGTATGGCCCGTTACAAATTTGTTTAGACAATAAAATGTCAGTATGATGTAGTTACTTGATACTTAATGAACAATGTGTTAGGCCAAACCAGTACATATATCTTGGAAGCTCCAAAATCGATAAGGAACAAAACATCAAAGGCCTTTCCGCTTTATCAAAAAACAAAATTGAATCCATTTTTTTCTTGACGATCCCTGCCAAGTGTTTGAATTTTATTTGAAAAATACCGAGCACGCAAAATAAGCATTTGAAAATCACGATGTACGTAAATTTAAATAAGCAGAATACGTTGAACGAGGCAACTGTCTTGCACGACTGAACGTCAAATAAAAAAGTAAACACACGTGAAATAAAAAAACGGCGATCACGTTGCACGAAAATAACCCTTTAACGTCCTCTACCAAGGATTTGTATATCCAAAGCCCTTTGACCTACCTATTAAAACGTTTTATTAGGCCACAAAATCACGACAAAACAACAATTAAACGACTAAAAAACCCAAAGTTATAATATGTTTGTGCAGAGACTCATATATATATATATATATATATATATATATATATATATGTCTCTGGTTTGTATGATTACTATATATATATAGGACCAAGGAATTGTATAGTTAGGACTTATGTTTTGTAATATTTAACCCAGGTCCATCTCCGCTAGTCAAGGGTTACGACCCAGTACCCTCCTCTAAGAGAGACCCAAGTCATGACAAATATTTATATTTATCAAAATATATAAATTTGTATAAATATGTCTAATGTCTAATTAATGACTAATGTCTAATGTCTAATTAATGACTAATGTCTAATGTCTAATGTCTAATGTCTAATGTTTTTAAATTATTGCCTAAAAAACAGTAACTGAAGAGCAAATAAGTGAAATATCTTTCATTAGATTTTAGATAATAAGTTGACTACAAAAGAAAACGTTATGAAAAATGCTGTATATGACATGTGAGTGTGTGGATTTCCTCGAGCCATTAAAACTTTAACAAATTTTGCATGGGTAATAGAAGATTTTGGGTCACACGAAAGATCAAGTTGTGAGTGGCTGGTATTATATATTTACTCTCGTCACAAATATATGATATGACAAAATTTATAATATTACTGTCTTGTATGTAATCTATTCTGTGTACTAGTATCAATATATATATATATATGCGATATAATTAAAAGTTTATTTTTACGTTTTGACATAACTTTTCATTTTGATAAAATACGTATTGAACAATATAAAGATAAGGAGATGTGGTATGATTGCCAATGAGACAACTATTCACTAAAGTGCAAATGAATTTGATGTAATTAAGCAATTATAGCCAACCGTACAGCCTTCAACAATGAAAAAAAAACATACCGTATAGCCCGACATAAAAAATGTTAAACAATTCAATATTGAGAAAACTGACGGCCTAATTTATGACAAAACAATTTAACAAAAACAATTATGACAGACATGAACGAACGACAAGCATTTAACTATACAGGCTCCTGGCTACGACAGGCACATAAAGAAGGTGACGAGCTTTAATATACGTATTTGCTGGCGCCAAACCCTCCCCCTATAACCTGGGACAGTGGTGTAACAGTACAACATAAGAATGTTTTCCTCTGCAAATGGCGATGCTACTGCAATACTACCTTTCATCTTTCTGCATTATACTACTGGACCAGACTTTTTAAATGCTAGGTCTGTCACTTGCTATCATTATAAATTGTGAGGAAAAATGTCCACAAATTTGTCAATACAATCAGTTTCGTAAGAGTAGATTGAACAGGTGGGGTGGGGCTTTTGAAAATTACAAGCAAAAAAAAAACTATTCCTGACGATATTTGTTCATTTCTATTTTACTCAGTGTTTAAACAGGGTTTACTACTCCAGTAGTGATTAGCTTGGTAACATAGAATGATTACTTTACAAAGTGTTATGTTTGTAAACAAAAACTATATCCCCTTCTTCATAATTCCCAGTGTGAGCTCGATGAGTGTTACTTCTAATGTTTATTCAATTGGGGGTACCAAGAAGAGTCAAAATATATTTTTACAAAATTTAGCGATTCTTTAATAAATTGCTTCGCCGAGCGCTGCTGGATACGACCGCAGAGGTCCAACCCTGAACAGTTGGGGCAAAAATGGACACAATATTCGTGCTTGATACATGTCTGAATTTGGATTGAAATTAAATGTTTGACACATAATAGGTTTCTGACACAGAATAACTGTAGTCAAAGAACTTAGAATTGGTTATATGATTTGAATTTATATTAAATTTTTTGCTCTTGTGCAATTCACTATGCTGTTGCGAATTGCCCCCCTCCCCCCCAAAAAAATTACCCCCATTTTTTTTTTGCTTTGTGCTGTGCAATACTCTATGCTGTTGCAAAAATTTCACCCCTTTTTTTCTTGGCAAAAAATTTTTTTTTCACCCCACCCCTTTTTTATTGCAAAAAATAAAATAATATTTGAAGAAATTTTCTTTTAAATTTCTGAAATCTGTAATGAGAACAAAAATTGTCCCCCCACAATTTCTTTTTTACCCCCCCTCCCCTCCCCCAATTTTTTTCCCCTCCCCTCCCCCTCCCCTTTTTCCAAAAAAAAAATCTTTCCCTCAAGATATGGTCATTATCTCAATTCAAATTTCCAATGGAGTTTGCAACCATAACTCATTTAAATACATCATAAAAGTCTTAAAATAGAAAATGACATACATAATCATGTCTAAAATAATATATCTTTAATCAGCATTTTTATTAGTAACTTCTAAAAATAAATTGACAGCTAATCACCTCAAGACAATACAAAATTTCTTTATACATAATTTTAAAGCAGTGTAAGGGAGGTAATCCAAATTTAACATTGTACTTATAAGTGATTGTCCATTAACAAGGAAACCCTTGTTTTTCCCCCTTTTTTGCCCCTAATTCCTAAACGGTTTGAGCCATTACCCCCAAAGCCAATCCTAACCATCCCTTTGTGGTATGGATACTTGTTGTACAATTTCAGAAAGATCCATACACCGTTCCACAAGTTATTGTCTGAAAACTAGAAAAATGCTTATTTGGGCCCCTTTTTGGCCCCTAATTCCTACACTGTTAGGACCATAACCCCCAAAATCAATCAAAACCTTCCTTTTGTGGTTATAAACCTTGTGTTTCATAGATTTCTATTTACTAATACTAAAGTTATTGTCCGGAAACCAAATGTCTTCGGACGACAACGGACGTGATACCAATATACGACCACAAAAATTTTTTGCGGTCGTATAAAAATACGCTAGTCTAATGATTTAACACAGTTATTGATATTTGAAAACAATATATGTAAAAATTCATTTTGACGTGTGGTTTTAACCACATCTCTTATCCAGTTAACACCATGGAAAATATACTATATATATAAGAAATTTTTCTTCGAGAATTCAATCAAGTAGATCGAAAATCTCTTTCTTGTTCTAGTTGCTGCATGAAAATATACACAAAATGGCACAATCTAAATCTTTTCCTTTGAAAATTCTAGCCCAGTATGATATCATTCTCACTTTAATATTAATAGTTAGAGGGTTGTTGGTAGAGGGTATACATTTAACTAGAATGTGTTGTCGATTTCTTAATTTGAAGTAAAATTTAATGGTGGCACGGTCAGATGGTACATATAGAGTATAACAAAATCAGAGTTCTATATTTTGATTAGATTGAGATGAAATTAAAAAAAAAGCTGTGATAATATCAGACAGACAACAATGAAAAATGGGATCACTTGCAAAAGGTAATTTCTACTGGTAATGCCCAACTCATGACAATGTGTATGATTGTTTTGGTGAGAAAATTGTACGCCTTTACGAATTTTATGGTTAGGTATGGGTCATTTTAAAAAAATGTCGAATTTTGAAATTTTGAAATTGATTTAAAGTTACTAATGCAAACAACCCTCGTCATAACCAAATCAAAACAAACAGTACTTATAGAACAACATATAAAAAGATGCAATCTTGATAATGTCGTACAAGAATATATTGAAACTTTTTTGATAGGTGGTGCAATATTTTGTCT